TGGATTAATTTAGGCCTTCAGTTTTGGTTATAATTCTAAAATTGATCTGTGATGGGTGATCGATTCCTTTCATATTACTTTCACCATGTTGTGTAGATTTATGTGGATTATTTAGGTGTAAAAAGACTTTTTCCCCGCCACATGCTTCTTCTTGTCCGCCATTTTGAAATTGTGTTACAATTGTTTGCCTGCCAAGGTAGTCAAATTGTTTACAATTCTCAGCAACGTATGTATATCATATTTATGTGTTTTCAGATACTACTAGCTTTGGCATTACATTGAGTTACAAATATTTTTTCCGATAGATTATTTCAATTCTACAGCATTTTTCCAGTCCAGCTTCATCAACAATTCTTTTATTGCTTAACTAATGCTTGCGTGTTGAACTAATTGCCGTGGAAAAAAATCTTCCAGAGATCCTCATCCAAGTTGTTTGGCATGCACACATATTTGCTTGCCAAACTCTAAAAGTAATTTTTGTGTAACTCTTTTTCCAGCAAGTTTTACCATAAATAGCCAGGTTACTCATAAACATATTTTGCAGCAATCCCGTCACGTGGGTAGGAAGATGTCACAATCGTTGGATATTGACAGACATGTTTCTGTCATAACCTCGCAGCCGTTATCATCGGTGGGTAATATGGCTCCCGTTACTGTGACTGCAGAAGTGCACCTTCCGCCGAAATATTGTTATATTGTGAGTATCGTAACTGCTCCTAATATTCAGCCGCCCGAGACATCCAGCTCTTCGAGATGCGACGTTGGCGCCAGCATCTCAAAACGTTTTGAAGGGGATAGCGCAGGCGCAAGCCATGATCCAGTCGGCACTGTTGAGCATTGCCTCTGAGGGACCTGCGGTGACCGCAGTACCTGCCTACTTCCCAAGCGCCTCAACAATGACATCAGCCCCAGGGCTTACAGCATACAATGTTATGCAGGCGACGCAGGATCAGCTTAGCGCTGTTCCAACGACTTATCCAGTGTAGCAGATGTACTCTCAGGCATCAACACTGTTCCAGAACACTAATTGGATGCAAAACTTTATACAGTCCATGAGGCAGCAGTCTATGGTACCCCTGTATCTTGCGCCCAAGCCTACGCCTATGTACCAGACACCTGCGTTAGCTACAACTATGGCACAAGGCTAAGCGCCTACTCCGGCACCTAACGTCTACAATACACCTATTGCCGTCATGGTACAGCACATTTATCGCTGGGCAGTGCTAGTACACCAGTGCGTACATGGACATTGGCGCATGACCAGAGCCCTCTGTCAGAGTAGCGCTACACAATGGAGCCGAAGCCGATCCCCGCCTAGGGGAACATGTCAACATCGTTTTGATTCGTCAGACTCTTCAAATGGCGAAGATGGAGATTCCTCGGTAGAATGGAACACACATCTCAGCTTAGCTCAAGTACCCGATTGGGTAGCGGACCGTCTCATATCAGTGGCGCCTTCCCCTGATAACGAGGTGGCTAAAAAAGACTCCAAGCTCACACTTGCACCATCATTTAAGCCACAAAAGTTCAGGAAGGATGAGTTTCCTATCCATGTGTTTGCAGTACAGATCAAGCTCATAGTTAGGATGAGGACATACAGAGGATGACAGACTTGTCAGGGCCAATCACCCTTAAGGTTCAGGATACCAGAATTGCGGTTATTGAATCTGAAATCAGATGGGTATTCAAACCTTTTTGTCGGCACCAGCATCGCCAACATGTGTGGTAGAGCAGGATCTATCAGAAGACAACCCTAACCGATTAGATCATTTTCAAACTATAGTGGACTTCCAACAGCGTCAGATTTACCATGAGGAATCATCTCAAAGCTGCTCTGGTGGAGATTACTGTCACAGGCAGACTTGGCTATTTAGCGCTTTCCGACTGGGACTCTGAGTTCAAGCACAGGCTGCTACGGCAACCCTGCTCATCTACTTCTCTGTTCTATGTACAGATTACAGACACGCACACCAAAGTTTCCAGTTACGCTCGGGATGAGAAGGTGCTCAAGGCTCTAGAGCACGTCTCTCATAGTTTATCCCAGCGGGCTAGCAAGTCAGGCAATTATAGGCCTAGATGTGCGTCACTCAAGAAAAGCCAAGACCAGGATTCCTATCGTGGTAAAGGGCGTGGCAGAGGGAAACCTCAAGGTTCTTATCAGACCCGACGTGGTAAATACCAGGGCAGGGGACGCAAAAAGAGGGGTAAACACTGAAGTGTTTGACAATCACAACTGGGACTGACACCCCCAGAGGTGGAAGACTGAATCGGTTCTGGAAGAACTGGTGCATCCTCAAAGACGATTACGTTCTCAACGTACGAAGTCACGGTGATCTAGACGTAGAGGTACTTCCACTGTTGACCACAGCTCCACTGTTGACCACTGCTCAGAACCCGCATAAAGGCGTTAGATTCCTTGAACAGTCTCGACCTGCAGGATGCCTACCTACATATACCTATCCATCCCTCTGACCGCATGTTCCAGTTCAATGGGTTCACTACCAATGGGCATTTCAGTGTCCCTGTGCCTATTTACACGTGGTCCGACACAGTTTTTGCGAGTCATTATCTTCGCAATGTGGCTATTGAGGATGTCGAAGACCAGCAGGTTACCAATTCCCGATGCAGATAATGAACTCGCCCTATACAGAGCCAGTCTTCTTTCCTGCTCAAGTCGCTGAGATTCAGCCAGTGGAAGAAATTTAGACCTTCTTTTTTTTGTCAGGCCTTGGCTCTATGACATAGTAAATAAAGAATTAGCTGCCTAGCTATTATTTTCTTTATTATTAAATATGTATAGGGAACTACTCTTAAATTCCTATGTTCAATCTTTATAATGTTTGAACAACCCTACCGTAATGGTGTTTTTCTGAACTTTTCAACTTCACAGTTTATCTACCAACTTGTGTTGTGTTTTCAGGGTGTGAATTATTGAGGTTTCTGTATTTTGTAAAGGTTTACCTACCTCCAAACCGTCTGATACAGATGCATTAAGGAATAATGCAGGATAAGTAAAGAATTTAGTAAAATCTAATACATTTTTTACATTTGTATACTTATCCTGCATTACTAAAGTACCGTCGGAAATGCTAGAAAACTGCTTTTTGCCTGTTAAAAAAGGATATAATTTTTTCACATACTGTTATTGAAATATCGAGTAACTACCGATCAATCTACCTGTGGTTTGAAGTATTTCAGTCACAAGGACTCCTATCGCCAAGTTTACAGGAGACAAAGTTGAACGAAAAACAAGTTTACATTTATTCTTAGTCCAATGGTGGCAGTCTGAAATCGAAATATGCGCACATCTCTGTTATAATGATAATAATGTAGTGTACATAAAACATCTAATCCACTCACAAAAAATCATTTTGAGAAAATTCTAGATGTGCATCTTCTAAAATGACACTGCATTTTTTTTTATTAACCTTACTCTCATGATGCATGTTTCATTACAATTCCATAGCCATAACCATGGTACACGATATAGAGTCTGTACTGGGAAATATATACAAGTTCTTTACACTTTAGAGAGATAGAGGGAAACCATTTGTTAATTTAGATGGGGTGAATTACTGAACTGCCCAAGCTATTGGGTTTTCAATTCATACCATCAAGTCTACGGTATGATAAATAAAACAAAGCAGGTATAGGGTGGTCTCAAAAACAGAACTGGGACTTAAAGGATATTAGAAAGAAAACATATCCTAAATTGCTACCCCATCAACGCACATGTCAATTAAGTACAATAACAGCAATATTTTGAGACCACCCCCAACTCGGTGACATTTGCACCTGTGAGAATGCACAGGGCGGTGTGAGGTCATCACCTCGGGACAGGTTTTAGGTAATTACCTCAGGTTATAGGCCATTTCATACATGCATGACAACACACAAATATTTTCTAAGGTGATCATCATTTTAAGTACATTTTAAGGGTAATCACAGTGCCAGTTAGGACAGGCTAGATCAGGGCAATTTATGTTATTTTGATATATGCTCTTTTTATAGTTCTATGACTCATATTTATTAAATGAAACCAGAAAAGCAGTTTTCTAGCATTTCCGACAGTACTTTAGTCATACTACGTTTAAGGACACCCCCCCACAGACTTGCCTCCCCACTTTAGCTTCAGAAACCTCAAAAGTATGTTTTTTAAGCTCGGTCGACAGGCAAAGAAGGTGACTTGTCATCAAGGTCACGACAGCGGCGATGGTCCGTATGAAAGTGGGAATTGAAAACAACAACATCTTTATTTCTCCACACAAGACCATCGCCGTTCACTGTCTTCTTGTTGTCGTAATGTAAGCAGTGAATGCATTAAGGAGTAATGCAGGATAAGTATACAAATGTAAAAAGATATTTAGATTTTATTTAGTTTTAATGGACATCTTAATTTCTAACGATGGTTGCTTACTTGACACATTTGGGTGCTTACCTATTACGATTAATGTAAAAAAGTAACAAACTTAGAACACCAGAAATGTCTTTTAGATTTCCTGTACTGAGATTCTGTTAGAAAGACAATCAACTCATGTTGAAAGTTATACAATTGGTTATACTGTGTAAAGAAATAAGAACGTTGTAACACTTTTTACACAATGTATACGTTTTTGAGACTGCAACGTTTTCAAAGCCAGCTGGTGTCCAGACACTAGGAGGTTTAAAGCAGTTAACTGTTATTAAAATGATAAATACGATAAGACTCATGAACACACAAAATCAGGAAATTGCATTCATAGCACCAAGTACACGGTTGCGTTTCTCCGAAGAACAGACATTAATAAGCCTGTCGCCACCATTTTCCTCACATGTCAATGGGACAAACTACTTACCATGTTTAACTATTGACTACATATCCAGGTGAGCTACAATGCAGATGCACTGTTTTTCAATCTTCACAGATGGCTTATCAGGGTATAAGAATGGATTTTAATGGATTGCAGCTTTGTCCAGCTTTTAATACAATATTTTTTAAGCATATGTTTATCATATTTCAGTCCACAAACAAGGAATTTTTACTCCGGATTTCATACATGGAAATCTACACTGAAAAGATATACGACCTGTTTGATGATATAGAAAAGACATTGAAACTTCAGGAAGACACAGTAAGTTTTATGAATAAGTTGGATGAACATATATTTCATACATGTTTTCAATGGACCTAACAAGATGCTGAATTTATGTCTGTAATGTCAGGCATTTTGTCTACAGTCAATCTACCTTTTTCTTTTTCAAGATATGCACAAAAGAAGCCAAAGAACACATGATTTTATCATATGACATCAGTTGCTCCAAATTTGTTACCTGAATGTTATACCAGGTATAATTGTGTGTCACATGGTGTCACAATATTATTCTGAGGGATTGTTGGACCCCCAGGGTGTCACTTGTTTTAAGCCACACAGGTTCTGGACCATGGATCGTAGCTTTTGCATGTTCGAGTAAGGATGTGACAAGTGATGCAGAAGTAAAGTTGGGTCTGTCAAGGATTGAAGTCTAATTAATCCACAACATAATTCGGCACATGGCCACCATTAAAGATAGTTGCTGACCTGCTTGAGAGCGCCCCCTGGAGGCAAGAGACATTTTGGTTATGTCTTTAAGGACCAAGGTTGAAGGAAATTTGCCCAGTTGTATCAGGATAAGTATACTTATATCATAACTATGCTATACTATGTTTTGGGAATCATTGCATTAATACATTGGCACAAAACTCCTTAAGACCCCACTACATTTGTAAGACTGTTCAAGGATGGACTAAGTATTTTTTTTATTATTACAGAACCACCAGATCTCTGTGGTTGGTCTGAATGAGCAGATTGTCAACTCCAAGGAGCAGGTGATGAAGTGGATCATACGTGGGGAAAGTAGGTACCTGTTTGTTCACCAGGCAGGACGAGTGGCCATTCAACGAGCAGTATTGGGGACAACTTACTTTGTAACATGTTGTGTGCAGATCTGTGTCTTTGTAGAGCAATCACAGATCTGTGTCTGTGTAGAGCAATCACAGATCTGTGTCTTTGTAGAGCAATCACAGAGCTGTGTCTTTGTAGAGCAATCACAGAGCTGTGTCCGTGTAGAGCAATCACAGAGCTGTGTCTGTGTAGAGCAATCACAGACCTGTGTCTTTGTACAGCAACCACAGAGGTGTGTGTGTAGAGCAATCAGAGCTGTGTCTTTGAAGAGCAATCAAAGAGCTGTGTCCGTGTAGAGCAATCACAGATCTGTGTCTGTGTAGAGCAATCACAGAGGTGTGTGTGTAGAGCAATCACATACCTGTGTCTTTGTACAGCAATCACAGAGATGTGTCTGTGTAGAGCAATCACAGATCTGTGTGTGTAGAGCAATCAGAGCTGTGTCTTTGTAGAGCAGTCACAGATCTGTGTCTGTGTAGAGCAATCACAGGGCTGTGTCTGTGTAGAGCAATCACATAGCTGTGTCTGTAGAGCAGTCACAGAGCTGTGTCTTTGTAGACCAGTCACAGAGCTGTGTCTGTGTAGAGCAATCACATAGCTGTGTCTGGGAGAGCAATCACAGAGGTGTGTCCATGTAGAGCAATCACAGAGCTGTGTCCGTGTAGAGCAATCACATAGCTGTGTCTGTGTAGAGCAATCACAGAGCTGTGTCCGTGTAGAGCAATCACAGAGCTGTGTCTTTGTAGAGCAATCACAGAGCTGTGTCTGTGTAGAGCAATCACAGAGCTGTGTCTGTGTAGAGCAATCACAGAGCTGTGTCTGTGTAGAGCAATCACAGAGCTGTGTCTGGTAGAGCAATCACAGAGCTGTGTCTGTGTAGAGCAATCACAGAGCTGTGTCTGGTAGAGCAATCACAGAGCTGTGTCTGTGTAGAGCAATCACAGAGCTGTGTCTGTGTAGAGCAATCACAGAGCTGTGTCTGTGTAGAGCAATCACAGAGCTGTGTCTGTGTAGAGCAATCACAGAGCTGTGTCTGGTAGAGCAATCACAGAGCTGTGTCTGTGTAGAGCAATCACAGAGCTGTGTCTGGTAGAGCAATCACAGAGCTGTGTCTGTGTAGAGCAATCACAGAGCTGTGTCTGTGTAGAGCAATCACAGAGCTGTGTCTGGTAGAGCAATCACAGAGCTGTGTCTTTGTAGAGCAATCACAGAGCTGTGTCTTTGTAGAGCAATCACAGAGGTGTGTGTGTAGAGCAATCACAGAGGTGTGTGTGTAGAGCAATCACAGAGGTGTGTCTGTGTAGAGCAATCACAGAGCTGTGTCTGGTAGAGCAATCACAGAGCTGTGTCTTTGTAGAGCAATCACAGAGGTGTGTGTGTAGAGCAATCACAGAGGTGTGTCTTTGGAGACTAGTTCACATTCACATATCTTTTAAACCCACCTGGCCTTGAGACATCTTGAGGGTTACATTTCCTAGTATAAGAGTGACAATGGCACAGTTAAAATAAGTTTCTGATGCCTTACACTATGCATTTGTTCCTTCTTTAGATCTTTTAATATGTGGTAACATGCTTGAAAAAGGTCTGTTTCTCAAAAAAATATTGCATAATGAAGCTCTGAAGTTGGCCACAACCCTTTCACATCTTTGTTTGACAGTTGCCTTTTTCCCCCATGAAGAAAGTGAAAGTGAATATGCTGGCTCTAAATGTAAAAGTCTTCTCCCGTGTGTGTACAGCTTGAGGTTGTCTTGATAGATTACAAAGGATATTAAATAAACCTTCTTTTGCAGCCAAAAGGAAATTTGCTGAGACAAAGGCTAATGATCGCAGTTCACGTTCACATGTCATCCTGAGAATAGTAAGTATTATTGTTAAGTCTTTGAATGGCATTTAGAAGTGATACATATTAGGAAGCGAATTTATGGACTTATCAACTTCTTTTTATTTGGAACACAATGTTTCAGAGTATATACTTACACCATCATCAGGTGAATTAATGCTAAAAGCAGAGAACATATATATGTATGTATATGTTTATAATATATATATGTAAGAACAACCAAAGTATTAAGATAACAAAGGTGGAAACTTTACAAGGGAAGCCAGCGCAGACAGGTGATTAGCAATGGACAAATGGAAGCCAACATTTAACAGTTAATTAGAGCTGATATGTGATAGAAGCACTTTAAATATCACTGATTGGTAATTATTACTGATTGGTAATTATTGGCAAGGGGGAAACGGGAGGCAGGGGCTAATTTTCACTGATAGGTAATAGCAATGGACAAATGGAAGCTGGCTGGATAATTAGCACAGACAGTAATCAAAGCAATAAATTCCAAGCACTGGGCAGATAGGTTCCCTGGTCACGGTTCATGGCTGGCTGGTGTCTCCTGATGTCGATGGCTTCTTGTAGTTTTCTTTGTCGCCAGTTGTTGTTGGTAGACAGGACTTTGGTGGCTTCCCACATGTCGTTATGGTCTTGGTTCTTGAGGATGGGTTCGGAAATAGCGGATTTAAGGTCAAGTTGACATCCATAAATTCTCTTCCTTGATTTTGTTTTCAGCCTTCACCTTTCATGAACTTTGACCTGAATTTCCCTGCCATTTATACGCAACCAGTAGGGGGCTCCTTCTACTTTCAATAGCCCTCTGATGTATGTATTCTTATTCATATTTTGTGACAGTATCATTTCCCTATGTTGTTAGAACCTAATCAGTGTGAATGCAGTGACCAATGGTCAGAGTGTGCCTTGACTCTAACATGTTTAAACTGATTTTTGTATTTTCTACCCAGATCATAGAGAGTCGCCTGAAGGGAGACGTTGATGCTGTCATGGTGTCACATTTGGTATGTTATTTACGTGGTACTTTAACATGTTAAAGTGATAGACAATGTTGTTATGACAGTAGAATGTCCTTTTCGTCTGAGATAGTACCATAGTATTGAGAGAATGAGACAAGATCCTTGGGGGATACTGGGGGAATAATGGATACCAAAATGTTTCATGCACCCCACAAGAGAAGAACCTGAATTATAGAAGCAAACTGTTGGGGGTGGGGGTGGGGGTGGGGGGGGGGGGGGGGGGGGGGGGGGGGGGGGCTGGTTACCAAAGGTTTTGGGCCTACTCTTGCATGTCTTTTTGTATCCTTAAAAACTTGTAGATTTTAGTGTTAATAATGTGAAGTTTATGATTCACAATTATTACTAGACCTGAAGAAGGTTTACTCTATTCTGGCATCAAACATGTGGTTGAAGTCGTAGAGTTTTACCATAGTTACAGCTTGTGCTACAGATAATATTTTGAGCTGTTGTGTATTTACCATCTTTCTCAGATTTTTTATTATTCCCAATATTTTTGTTACCTTCAGTACAGTCTATATGGCATTTTGTAACCAATGAGAAGGAATCATTAAAAAATGATCCTGCCTCAAGTTTGTCACATGTCATGTATAACTGTAACAGTTTGAATAGGTAAGTTATGGAAATACATGCAATTACATTCAGTTAGAAACAGGACTCTTCATAAGAATGTCCTCTGGCAATTGCAAAGCCTTGTTTTGGGATCTGTATGTACACAGTTTGGTTTTTCACGATTTGCAACACTGGTTTTCACTCCTAGAGATGTTTTATATGCACTACAAGCTCACAACATCAACACATATCTTATATGAAAGTAAGAGGCAGTGTGTTTGTGCATTAATACATAGAGGTTATCACATGAGTGTGTTTGGCGATGGTAAATATCCTGTATTAGTAATAAACATTGTATTTAGCAAGCCTTGGCGAGCTTAATACATAGTGTTTGTTCCTAATTGTAGGATATTTACCATCCAACCTCTTTATCATATAATGTCATTCTTCAAATCCGTGCTCGAAAATCGCTTTCTTTCTCTCACAAACATTACTGAGACATTGCAAGTTTTCCTGGAATGTGCGCATTAATATATATTATGTAAGAGGGAAGGTGATGTTTCAGTCGGACAGTGACAGTAGCTAATATAGTTCCAACTGAAACCTGTTTCTTAAACAGTGGCGACATAAATTGTTTCTACTAACTTTTTGTGGCAATCAATCAGTCTGTCCAATAGAGCTATTCTTACCCTAGTCTGAGACGTCACGGCAACAGTCAGACATTGTTCACAGTTGGTCGGTCATGTCATTAACATTAAGAAGTGCCGTAGGATGTACACACAGCGACAAAACGAAACAAGGTAGCAATTCAAATGTATTTCAGTCAAATCTAACTGTTTTAGTTTGTGGAAAAGGTTCCAAGCCACAGAGGTCTACAACCACAGATATGGCAACTGATCCTGCTTGGCTAGTGCCCTTGCAAAATTGTTTCACCATTTATATCTCCAAAGTTGCCAAAACATGTAAAATGCCCTAGCTACGTCACAGTTAGACACTGATTTTCAGTATATGACTGTTCTTTTGATAATGATAGCAATTATCCCAGTTGTTTCTCCAGATTCCCGATGGTTGATTCTGACTCGATCACTGAATGACAAGGGAGACGCCGTGTTTATTTATAAACACTGTAAATAGTCCCGACTTGACTACCCCTTGGCTTTATCCTGCTGAGAAACCTACCCATTATATTTTTTATCTGTAAGGAAATACTGTAATACAAGCTGGAAAAAGTTACTTTGGATAAGTAGGCAGTGTTATTGTTTTTTGTTGTTGTTTTTTTACATTTCTCAGGCGTATTTGTACTTAAACAAATCCAAACTACTTCGGTAATGGTGCTGTTTGTGTGCACATATACTATGCTTATCAGGAGCACTGGTTACAGCCTTGATGTTCGGAATATTACACAACTAATCCATTACCTCCCTCCCTGTTTACCTTTACCATCATGGGAGGTGACAGACTCTATTCTTGCCTTATGTTGGATACTGCATGTATTAAGGTACTAAACTTATTGTCCCTCTTCAGAACTTTGTTGACTTGGCTGGTTCTGAGAAGGCAGCAGACAACTCTGGTGAAAGATTTCGTGAGGGTTGTGCGATCAACCGCAGTTTACTTACTCTCAGCCAAGTCATCAGCAAGCTGAGTGAAGGAGACAGGTATGTGTGTCACATCAGCAAGCTAAGTAAGGGAGACCGGTATGTGTGTCATCAAGCTGTGTGAGGGAGTCAGGTATGTGTGTCATCAAGCTGTGTGAGGGAGTTAGGTGTGTGTCCTTAGCAAGCTGTGTGAAGGAGTCAGATATGTGTGTCCTCATCAAGCTGTGTGAGGGAGTCAGGTGTGTGTCTCATCAAGCTGTGTGAGGGAGTCAGCTGTGTGTCTCATCAAGCTGTGTGAGGGAGTCAGATATGTGTGTCCTCATCAAGCTGTGTGAGGGAGTCAGGTGTGTGTCTCATCAAGCTGTGTGAGGGAGTCAGGTGTGTGTCTCATCAAGCTGTGTGAGGGAGTCAGGTGTGTGTGTCATCAAGCTGTGTGAGGGAGTTAGGTGTGTGTCTCATCAAGTTGTGTGAGGGAGTCAGGTGTGTGTCTCATCAAGCTGTGTGAGGGAGTTAGGTGTGTGTCCTCATCAAGCTGTGTGAGGGAGTCAGGTGTGTGTCTCATCAAGCTGTGTGAGGGAGTCAGGTGTGTGTCTCATCAAGCTGTGTGAGGGAGTTAGGTGTGTGTCCTCATCAAGCTGTGTGAGGGAGTCAGGTGTGTGTCTCATCAAGCTGTGTGAGGGAGTCAGGTGTGTGTCTCATCAAGCTGTGTGCGGGAGTCAGGTGTGTGTCTCATCAAGCTGTGTGAGGGAGTCAGGAGTGTGTCTCATCAAGCTGTGTGAGGGAGTCAGGTGTGTGTCTCATCAAGCTGTGTGAGGGAGTCAGGTGTGTGTCTCATCAAGCTGTGTGAGGGAGTCAGGTGTGTGTCTCATCAAGCTGTGTGAGGGAGTCAGGTGTGTGTGTCCTCAGCAAGCTGTGTGAGGGAGTCAGGTATGTGTGCTCTCATCAAGCTGTGTGTGAGAGTCAGGTATGTGTGTCCTCAGCAATCTGTGTGAGGGAGTCAGGTGTGTGTGTGTCCTCAGCAAGCTGAGTGATTGAGCAGATGATAAATTGTTATTTATAAAGAAATTCCAATGTAATATTAAGAGTTTTTTTGTAATGATCCACACTTGGCTCTGGAATGCTTAGTACTGAATTACTAAAATAATGGTTACTCTGCCAAAAGGATCAGTCAGGTTGTGCCAAATGCTGGTTCTACAATATGGTGTTAATGATGACAGAATTGAGTATGTCAACCTAGTTACCTGTGTTCTTTACATGAAAGCCAGTGCCTGGCTAAGAAGTGTCACCAAGAGTGAAAATATACCCATAATCATATCCACTTCATTTACTTTCTATCAGTGCCTATATTGGATATCGGGATTCCAAATTGACTCGTATCTTACAAAATGCACTTGGAGGAAACTCAAACACGCTGATCATCTGTACAATAGCTCCTGCTTCAATGGACGAGAGCCATTCAACACTGAGGGTAAGCAGCTGTATTATTTAGAGCCCCGTGTTTGTGATATTGCACATTAACATGAGCCACAAGTTAATTGATAAGCTGTACTCTAATCAACTTGTCAACTTCATTCCCAAATGCTTTTTGAAGGTATTGAGAATGATACTATGGTACTAAGTTTGTGTGATGCATAATGAGTTGTAGCCCTTGTATGTATATTGGAACTGTGTATTTCCTGAATTATGTTTTATCCTGACAGCACATTGCAATTTCCTCCTTCTCTTCGATCATATAACGCAGAACCCTCTTCTTACATCGGGGTCCCCTTGCCCTTTGTTACCTTGGATACAAGTAAGCTTTGAAGTGGTAAATTATATCCATGTTATTGTGTATATTTGACATTCTAGACGAACAAATCTTCCACAGATACCTTACTAGGAGGTTACTTCGATGTCTTTCATATTTTAATAACTGCTTCCCATGGGGTTGAACCATAACGATATTAAATTGTGTGGGATTCTGTTAATTGTCCTACTGTTTCATCACCACTGACGACTACGACACTCTTATGATGATTATACATGTTATTTTATATTACTGCATGGCTGGAACATCATTAACCATGTGTAAGGATGGCACTAGTATTGACATTGATGTGTGTGGAGTGGATAGTCTATGCGACTAAGTTTGTTTGTGATTTGGACACTAGATGTGTAGTATATAATACTGCAGAACAGAGCAGGTTGAGACCGATCTTCGGCATACATATTAGCAAAGTCCCCACAACGGGTGTGCAGAGACACAAGCAGGCATGAAATAGGAGTCATAACGTTCACCACATCTTCTGCTGTGTGGGGCGGTCGGGTAGCCTAGTGGTTAAAGCGTTCGCTCGTCACGCCGAAGACCTGGGTTCGATTCCCGTCATGGGTACAATGTGTGAAGCCCATTTCTGGTGTCCCCTGCCATGATATTGCTGAAATATTGCTAAAAGCGTCGTAAAACCATACTCACTCACTCTTCTGGTGTGACTGTGCTGGAAGTAACCAGGACGACAATGTCGCTGTTGGATGCCATCTCCTGTCTGGCCCTGACTTCTGGTACATCAAGTGGCTAGGTGTCATCTGCACGGCTGGAGCATGCAAGGTGGAACATGAGCACTGGCCAGAGTGCCGCCTGGAAACATGCACTGACTTCAGTCACAGCACCAGTCAAGGCGCTGACGGGAACTCTGGCACTGGTTGGTGAGCTGCCTGCAGCATGGATGGACGCCTTTCCTAAGACAGGTGCTTTGCATAGGACTGGTGCTCTGCTGAGGTTGGTGATTACCCTATTAATGGTTCATTGTTAAACCCTTTACATGTCATGGTGCTGGATCCAGCTTTATTCAAAATCACCTACATCCCCAGATAGGGGCCATGGCTTATGGTTGCAGCATCAACCGTCACCCTTTTTCAAGACACAGAGCTTCTATTGGTTTTGCAACCAGGATCCTTTGTCCAACTACAGGTTAGATGGACATGTCCGCCAACAATATTATCTATACCAATGTGCCTTCAGGTTCCCGTTTCTATTTCAGAGGTTAAATCAAACATGGAGTTGGCAAAGGAGATTGAACTCAAAGAAATCTGGAGCTGACTTTTTTGGTTTGAGATCCTACTGTTAGCACACAGCACCATTCTTGGATGGGGTGCTATAGTGTAGGTCTATCACCATAACCAGTCACCACTGTTCCTTTGCACTATGGAGGGCTCATGGTCAGCCCAGTCTTCTGTCCAAGAGTTGCATCCCTTGGGCACGCCAGAAACCTATGATCGTGGGTTCGAATCCCAGTTCGCCCTGATTATGTTTCTAGGTTTCTCAGCACCATACCCGTGCTCATGGGTTTCACCAAAGTGGTAAACGTTTGAGACCCGCATCACTTCAGGCTTTCCTCCCACATAAGGCTGACACGCCATGATATAAGTGGTGACATCAGTGTTTTAGGTCGCATCCCAGGCACTGCTATAACCAAACGTGGTCATCATTGTGTGAGAGATGCAAGAACGATAACAAGAATGTAGGAATCAGTTCCTGAAGAGATTTGACAGAGGACCAGATGCTGAGGTTCACTCATGTCTCATGTGGGATTTTGTGGCCAAAAACAGCAGAATGAAGACAATATAAGGTTCTTGATATTGACACCTTCTTTAGTTCTGGGGTATGAGGACACTGCTGTTTTGTCATGTCCAGTGTGTACCCTTTGATGACAACTTCCGACAAGGCAGAGGAAAAGGTTGTTTCTTACTTTGGTAGCTAAAAGTATAGCTGAGGCAACAAGAATATCATGGCTTTTTGGCCTTGCTCACAATCCCCATGAAGTCAAGGCTCAGACATCAACGTTGGCACTGTGCATGATGTCATCAGGGATGTGTTTGGAAAACTGACACAACCTTTGCCAACTACTATCTAAGGGATTTCTCCTCAGAGGATGTAGAGGGTGCTCATCAGTTTGGGCCCCTGCACCCCGGTGCATTTACGTCCAAGACGTTGAAGCTGCATCTACCAGGAATATTATTCACAAATAAACATTCTCTGAATTTTCAGATCTAGTTTTTCATCATGGACAAGTCACCACTGAGCACTTACATGATATTTTCAATGTGTCATTTAATTTCAGAGTAAATATTCTGAGGGCTGGCTGTTTTTTTATTTGTACTGACTAGTCTTGAAGTTCTCTACAAGCTACTGCTGTGTTTACCAGATATGGCTCATATGTCAGAATATGGAGGCATGTTTTGGGGTCTGTGTCATCTGATCAAAGCAAAGAAGGAAATTGCAATGTGTGGTAATGTCAAGGTACCGGTAAGTACAGAAATAATATCCAAATTCATGTAATATTATATATGCTACAGTTTGCTTCTCGAGCCAAAACCATCAAGAACAAGCCGATACTGAATGAAGTGCTGTCCGATAGCGCCCTTCTCAAGAAGTATGCCAATGAGATTAAGAAGTTACAGAAGAAGGTTGATAAGGTATATCATGAACTCTTTCACCAGAATTCTCAGAAGACTATATAGGTACTGGTACATCATATTTGCCAGCTGACATACACTGACACAACTCATGTTGCAGGAGTCACTGTTAGTATAGGTGGGACTGTATTGACATACAGTGACACATCAATGTTGCAGGAGTCACTGTTAGTATAGGTGGGACTGTATTGACATACAGTGATACACCTCATGTTGCAGGAGTTACTGTTAGTTTAGTTGGGACTGTATTGACATACAGTGACACACCTCATATTGCAGGAGTCACTGTTAGTATAGGTGGGACTGTATTGACATACAGTGACACACCTCATGTTACAGGAGTCACTGTTAGTAAAGTTGGGACTGTATTGAAATACAGTGACACTCTTCATGTTGCAGGAGTCACTGTTAGTAAAGTTGGGACTGTATTGACATACAGTGACACACCTCATGTTGCAGGAGTTACTGTTAGTTTAGTTGGGACTGTATTGACATACAGTGACACACCTCATGTTACAGGAGTCACTGTTAGTATAGTTGGGACTGTATTGACATACAGTGACACACCTCATGTTGCAGGAGCCACTGTTAGTATAGTTGGGACTGTATTGACATACAGTGACACACCTCATGTTGCAGGAGCCACTGTTAGTATAGTTGGGACTGTATTGACATACAGTGACACACCTCATGTTGCAGGAGTCACTGTTAGTATAGTTGGGACTGTATTGACATACAGTGACACACCTCATGTTGCAGGAGCCACTGTTAGTATAGTTGGGACTGTATTGACATACAGTGACACACCTCATGTTGCAGGAGTCACTGTTAGTAAAGTTGGGACTGTATTGACATACAGTGACACACCTCATGTTGCAGGAGCCACTGTTAGTATAGTTGGGACTGTATTGACATACAGTGACACACCTCATGTTGCAGGAGTCACTGTTAGTAAAGTTGGGACTGTATTGACATACAGTGACACACCTCATGTTGCAGGAGCCACTGTTAGTATAGTTGGGACTGTATTGACATACAGTGACACACCTCATGTTGCAGGAGTCACTGTTAGTATAGTTGGGACTGTATTGACATACAGTGACACACCTCATGTTGCAGGAGCCACTGTTAGTATAGTTGGGACTGTATTGACATACAGTGACACACCTCATGTTGCAGGAGTCACTGTTAGTATAGTTGGGACTGTATTGACATACAGTGACACACCTCATGTTGCAGGAGTCACTGTTAGTAAAGTTGGGACTGTATTGACATACAGTGACACACCTCATGTTGCAGGAGTCACTGTTAGTAAAGTTGGGACTGTATTGACATACAGTGACACACCTCATGTTGCAGGAGTTACTGTTAGTTTAGTTGGGACTGTATTGACATACAGTGACACACCTCATGTTGCAGGAGCCACTGTTAGTATAGTTGGGACTGTATTGACATACAGTGACACACCTCATGTTGCAGGAGTCACTGTTAGTATAGTTGGGACTGTATTGACATACAGTGACACACCTCATGTTGCAGGAGTCACTGTTAGTAAAGTTGGGACTGTATTGACATACAGTGACACACCTCATGTTGCAGGAGTCACTGTTAGTAAAGTTGGGACTGTATTGACATACAGTGACACACCTCATGTTGCAGGAGTTACTGTTAGTTTAGTTGGGACTGTATTGACATACAGTGACACACCTCATGTTGCAGGAGTTACTGTTAGTTTAGTTGGGACTGTATTGACATACAGTGACACACCTCATGTTACAGGAGTCACTGTTAGTAAAGTTGGGACTGTATTGACATACAGTGACACACCTCATGTTGCAGGAGCCACTGTTAGTATAGTTGGGACTGTATTGACATACAGTGACACACCTCATGTTGCAGGAGCCACTGTTAGTCCAGTACTGACACAGTTCATGTCCAGCACAACTGGTATCCCAAATAGTGTTGTGAGGTGGGCATGAATGTATCTTGAAGCATGTTTCAGATGGGCATGCAGGACATGCAGTTGGAGAAAGAGGACCTGGAGAAAAAATTACAGGAAAAGGAAGATATTCAGAAGCAACAGGATGAGCTCATCAACAAGCTCCGCCAGATGATCTGTGTGTCGGGAGCAAATAATACCAGAGAAACAAAGGTGATACCGATAACTTGTTCATGATTGCTGCCTAGGTTACACTCTTTTATCAACTTATATGCCTGAAAATACAAATTCTGTCACAAATTTATACATTATTGTTATATTTCATGGTTTTTAAGATGTCCCAGCTAGACATTTCACAATTGGAATAAAAACAAAATCTAACACACTCGTTTGAACTAATGTTATTGATGAAAAAACAATATGTTAATATGTGAAGTCAAAATAGTTCTACCATTTAGGAAAACATTTTTCATATACTTTAAAGGTTACAGAAAAGTTTTCTTCATTTAATTGTCAATCAAAGTTGAAAGTAAACCAATTGACACTATATTTTGTTTTTTTCTATATCCTCTGACGCCCCAAATAATAGGTGAAGCCCCCACAATTGGTCAAATGTTCATTTATACAGCATGGCATGGTCCTAATCAATCTCCCAATAACAATTTGAGGCAGTTTTTATCCACTACTGTTTGGCTGGTGGCCATTGTAGCAGGTGCCCCAGGCATGCTCTATGGGGGAAGATCAGAACTTGTGGCTGGCCATTGCATTCTAGTGATGTTTTTCTGCTGGAGGTAGTTTGTTATGTCACGTGCACGATGGGCACGAGCATTATGGTCTTGAAAAACAAAGCATCAACTAGCATGGCATGTAAACAGTATAACTATTGGTGCCAGTATGTTTGTCTTGGTAGTACTGCCCTGTGACCCTTCCATAGACAATATGCAGTGACGTTCTAGCAGTCAGAGGGATCCCACCCCATATCATTACTGACCCACCCCACGTCCATGCCCATACAGACAGTTCAGAATGTATCTGGAATTATCCGAGAACATTACATTAGACCATCAATGAGTTCTCCAGTTTATAAGCTCTACACACCATTGGCATCTTGCAAGAATGTGTTGATTTGTTAACGGTTGTACAAAATGGTCGCTGATTTGTAATCATCTTGGGCCCGCATCACAAAGCAATTGTAGCGCTTAGTTTATTGTAACTCCATACTTTAACATTAACATAGACTTTTGATTGACATAGTGTTACAATCTCTCTTCTTTTTTAAAGGGCCATGGTGAGAAACTTGAACTCCAGTGGCCTGGTGCAAATTATGATTGGCCGTATGGGCTAGCTTCCTCTAAGCTTGGTTTGTGACTTATCCATCCTGTACTTGTGCTGTTCACCTTGGGTGCCCTGTGCAGGCCAATCATTAACATGTGTATGTAGAATCCTGTTCCAAAGTCTGGAAATCACAGCAGAGACACTGTTTCGCAGTGGAATGAAAAATGAAAAATAAAGTTTTGTAATCACCTTTTATTATCCCACAATTAGTATTTACATACCAAGCAATTAAAGGCAAATCACTACACGAATATTGTAGTATTTCCTTTTATAAAGCAGTCCTAATGTGACTGAAGGTTAAACTGTAACCAACGATGTCAGCCTAACCATGTGTTCTATCATCTAGCCACCACGATGGTTGGTGCTAGACTCCTTTAAAGCATTATTAACATGCTTTTATATCAAACATTCATGAAAATCACGTGCATTTCAGTGTTCTACGTGAAGCTGAATGCGTTTTAGAGTTCATTTTCCGAAAACATAAGTCACTGAACGTACTTCCTGAACGTTCCTCCGATACGCTGAATTCACGTGCACTGTAAACGTCATTCCGCGAAGTAAATGACATGGTTGTATTTTTACTACACAACCGACTATCCACAAACAGTTCTTCAGTCCAGACACTTTGAACATATTGGTTACCTTTCCCCAAGTTCTACCAGTTTGAATGCCGTTTGGCATCCATCATGTAGATGACCCATTCCCAATCTAATCACAAGTACTGCGTTAACATTTGAGTAGAGAGTTTACATTACAGTAGATAATGAAAATCAACAATACTAAAGGCTCAGAACTGTTTGACAACCTTTCACTGATGTGTCAAAATCCACTTTCCCACTCGCATGGAGAAATTGCACGTTCCACATGTAAATTTTTGGTTCCTAAACTGTCCTATCTCTGCTGGCAGTCATTTTTCACAGCTGATCTTTCTTCTGATGATCGATCATCGATCATAACATTTGCATGATTTATATTCATGATCCCCACATTTTTGGGAGAGCTTATCAGTATTGCCTGTTGTACTGTCCATGCCTGACATGCAGCATAAGGGCATCGTTAAAAGCAAAAGAAATGTGCCTATCAGTGTCACTTGTATCATCACTGCCACCGTCACTATTGGCAGGATTGGTTTATTGTGATTGATTGCCATGGAATACATTTGCATGATTTGTCCACATTGCTTATTTAACAAATGACATCTTTTTTTCAGGTAAAGAAACTGCGAAGAGAAACATGGTGTGGTAAAAAGCTGAAGAAGTCAAGTTCAGGTACATGTTTGTCTCTCTGTGTAGCTGCATTTTGGGCTTGACACACTCAGCCATGTCACTCTCCCGAGGATGTACAGTGAAATAAATGTGTCCTTGTACCTAAAGTAGAAGGTTGAGTGTTTGACACTTGAAGATGTCAATGAGTTCTTAGTTCCCGCTGGCTTTGAAACTGCCAGTCCTTGTGGACTGGCAACTCTAAAAATTACAAGTCCCCCCTAATTTTTGCCAGTCCCAACTTTCAACAAATAAAAAAAACCTATGAAAATTATTTGCTTTTAATTCTTTCAACTTCATGTTCAGTGCAGAGATGTCATCTGTGAAGTAACTTAGATAGATCTATACGTCATTCACACAAACTTCAGTCACAATTTTCTCTTTGTGTTTTAATATTTCGAGATGAAGTTGCCACAAATGGATATTTCACCTAAAAATAGACAAGAGGAAACCCTGATGATAACAGACAAGCTGACTTTGTTCGAAAAATGTACTTATATGAATATCACCGATGTTACTTTAATTGGGGATTCACAGGGACTGGCAGTCACATGAATTACGGGTCCAAGCCTAATTTTACCGGTAAAAAACTGGTAATTACCGGTAAACAGGAACACTGGTTATCTATGTGCCAACAATTGTCGTGTACCCTCCTCTAAGAAACTACTTTATGTCAGTCTACTGCTGATATGAAGCAGTGCAGCCAGGGATCAGACTATCATTTGCTGAACATACAACATACCAAACTTTCTCATTGTATGATGTTGCTTGTTATTTACAGCAAAATGTAAATTGTCCCACAACATTCTTAATCCATATTAATGGAAAAGAGTAACTGTGCTTCATGTAGAGTGGTTTATATGTTATGTTATTAAATATGACAATAAAATATTTGGTCATTCGTCTGATCGATGTTTTGTCATAACTAATTACCTGGTAGCAGGAGACAGCAACACGCTCTGTAAGAGGGGCAGTGTAACAACACACTTAATAAGGTCAATATAGGGTGTGACCGCCATTTGTGTTGATACAGACGAGGCAACGGCAGCACATTGAAGGCACCAGATGATTAAAAACAGACTGGGGGATTTGGTTCCAAAATGTAACCAAAGAATGGTCCCAGCTAGCATTACCAACAGGTTCTGGTCTCATGGGCTGCCTCCTAAAGTCTAATACAACACATGCATCATGTGGCAGGCATTGTCCATCAGCAACATGACATTACGTCTCTGCATTTGCACAAAGGGTAGAACATGATCTCGATGTTGTTGAGTAGTGAGTTGTGTCGGTAGCGTACACCATTCAAACAATGAGTTATGTTCTCCTATGAGGTGTGATGCCAACCCATACTATTACACTTCCACCTCAAAACTAATGACATTAAGTAACACAAGCATCAGTAAAATGTTTTCCTGGATGTTTGTAAACCCTTGCAGGATCATCGCAGCTGTCTAGAGATGAAACATGGTCTCATCTGTTTACAGTATACTGTCCCAGTTTTGTCTTCTGAACCTCAGATGCTGTAATGTGTGAGCAAATTTGGATGTCAGGGCCAGATGTTGTGTACGCTTCTGCCACTTATTGGTCCCAACACAGGAATTTCTGAGCTGTTAATGTGCCAGTTTGGTATCGATTCCGTAGATGCACCAAGCAAATATGGTTGTCTTGTTGATGTGACATCACACATGGATGACAGGCCCGTGGCAAGTCATGAATGTTGCCCTGCTATAGAGAACATATCCAAAGAGATGACATTGTGTTTTGTTGAACATTTAAATGTCTGGCAAGTTCGTTTTGCGCCGTTCCTGTGTGCAGGATACCCATAGACGTTGATTTTCAGTGAGCCTTACCATTGGACAAGCGTTACTTACGGTTAAACGAAAGTGTTGTCTGAACACAAACAATCATTGTGTGATGTTCTCATTTATTACTTGCCCGTGAAGAGATCACCTGTTTAATAAACATTCTAAAGGTGGGCCTTTGTATGGTATTAAATTAATGTGTCAATGTTTGACGTGTTTGAAGTATTATTCTGTTAAACTCAATTGGATTATGTTGTGGATTGTGTAGGTGTCTGCCTATTCATACATGACAGTAAAATTAAATAAAAGGCATAACTGGCAAGTAATAAGTAAACTACTAAACTCCTATGTAATACCAATTTTATGTAACTCGCGACTTATACTCTTTCTTATTGCTTATCTCTCTTTTCCGAATAGGTAGTGGAAACTTCCTGTGCTGTTCCCAAAGAACAGAAAAAACAGCTCACCCCCAAACGCACCTTTACTCCGTGCATGCGCACTGGAACAACGTGACCAAGCCCAGTAACTTATCACTCTCTTTTTCGCCCATCTTGGCAGCTGGAATTTTTTATCTGTGCATCATAATCCAAGCCATCCATAAAAAATTAACCCTTTTTAAATTTTGTTTTTGTTTTGCTTGGATTATTTTCTGTAATATTCTATACATCATATCTAGTGATTATTTTTTATATTTGGCATTAGATTTTTTCCTAATTTTGACTTAAATGCAGCCCCTATCAGAGTTATGAAAACATGTAACATATGCAAATTACATGTTTCAGATTCGGACCCTCATCCAACCTGTACAAGCTGCACAGTACAGAACTGCACTGCAGTGGATAGATGTAATTTCTGCGCCCCCTTGGGGAAGGAAGATTTGATAATTATCTTTTAGCAGTGGAGAGGAAGAAGATGGATCGAAAAGATGTGAGTCATCACGCTCGTTATCATCCACGGAGATGGCTAAAAATAAGAAGAGGCAAGAATCTACACCCTGCCCATCCTCAGAGGAAGGGAGAGATTTTGAATCAGGCATTATTCAAATTACTCGGCTGAAGATGATGCAGTCACCCCCCATCTTACTTCCACGTCTACTAGGAAGAAGTCTAGAGGGTCTAAGAATAAACCAACTGAAATATTCAGTCAGGCTTTTAATCTTCAACAACTAGCTAAGAAAAAGAGTGAAGCGTCATTTACATTGACGCCGTCTTCCCCTAGCAGAGAGCATGTTTTCGCAGAGGTTACTACCTCTACAAAACCACTTCATCATTATCCACAAAGTTTCAGCAAACGCCAGTGTTCACCCAGGCTCCCGCCTTCATGCAGCCTTCAGCGTTTACACTGCCTGCTACATTTGCGCAGCCTACCTGTTTTACACAAGGTACTTTGCCAACGCCTGCTATTAATACAGATATGATAGCAAATATTACACAACAAGTCGTAATGGCTATGCAACAACAAATGTGTAATAAACCTGGCACGCAGTCGACAATGTCTTCACACAATAGCTCGCAGATTTCGTAGCCTTCATCTACAGCTCTGAACCCCAACGCCTCCTATCTTCTGCAAGAGGAGGAAGTGTTTGAGTCCCATCAAAGTGAAGACACATAGGAGAAAAATTACCCTTCAATTTATGAGGATCATGAATTAATGGCATGGATTTCAGATAGACTACCGATATCATCACCGTCAATGAATTCTTCTCCCATTGATACCTACTGTATCAAAGGGGATGATAGAGATGTCCCAGCGATAAAACAGAGAATCAAAATGTTTCTTTTCCATAAGCCACAAAATCACAAGGACTTCCAACACAGAGCTTTAATTCTAAGAAATTCCCCATGCATGCCATGTCGCAATTTCTTCGCTCACCGGAGATTGATGAGGATTACTCACTCATGTTGATACGACTACAAGACGTGCATTCTTTTGACTAGCGATGACACGCACTATGAATGAAGCTATGATCTAAGATGATGAGTAAAATAGCCTCAGAACGGCCGTGAAAGAATGCTGCTTTCAGCTCTCATCAATCAAAAGAAAAATCAAGAAATTATTTCTGATCTTATGAGTTCAGTGACAACAGGTCTAACACTACTATGGCGACAAGGTCTTATAGATATTTCTAATTGGTCAGATACCTATACCAAAGAATTATTAAGACAGCCCTGGAAGGCCCCAACCATTTTTAATGGTAACATACGTTAAATCAACAAAGAAGTGCTTCAAGACTGAATTCTATGTATCGTCTGTCCATGCAGAAAACCAAATTCAAAAGCCGTTTCACGGGCATTCTAAAAGCTAAAGAAAAACTCTACAACTACAAAGGCGGGAAATCGTCTGCCAGTTGCAGGCGTGGATCGTGGGGATCCCGCAATACCATGAAGATGGGCTGATGAGCGACTGGGAATTTTCTCTTCTTTCCCCCCCCCCCAGCCGTTCATGTACAGCATTCCCCTGTAGGTGGAAGATTGGCAAGATTTTGGAAGAATTGGACCATTCTCGGAGACGAATGTTTCCAACATTCTAAGAAAGGGCTACGACCCGACTTTACTCAAGAAACCCCCATTATCTCACAAGCCACCGAAAATATGTTATCGGAAAGAACTGTTGCTGAAGTTAACCGGAGCAATCAATTCACTTCTCAACAAGGGCGCAGTCGAGATAATTCAACCAGATTTACAAACCCCAGGATTCTGTTCACCGATCTTTCTTGTTCCAAAAAAGAATTCAAACAAAAGTTTCGTTTGATTTACAACATGAGAAGATTCAACAAGAAATACTTCCCAAAACCGGTAAAAATTCAGAATGATTCATTTGCCAAAATTAAAACATATGATAAGACAGCACGACTATCTCAGAAGCATCGATCTAAAGGATGCTTACCTACACATTTCCACCGCCCCGTGGCTATTTACATGAGTGACCAAACCAATTGTGACATTTCTTCACAAGGGAATTGGTTGTGCTTTTTACCTAGATGACAGGATACAAGCCCATCAATCAACAGAGCTACTCAGTCTACAACTGAATTTCACCCACAACTGGGCTGGTTAATAAATTATCAGAAGTCCGATTTACAACCATCTCAGGATCTAAAATTTCTGGGGATCAGATCTCTTACCAACCAGAATCAAATACTAGTACCAGAAGTTTGGTGGATAAAAATCAAAGACTTATTTGCCAACAGCAATTTACAAGGAAATCTCAGTCAGCGAATGGCAAGTGATACTAGGCTTACTCACGTCGGCCCAAGCGTTGACCGTCCGAGGCAGACTTCACTTAAGCCCTATTCAGAGATTTCTAATCTGTACCTAGAGTACCAGGATTTAAAACTGCAACTACCACACACATTGAGGAAACACCTCTTGTGGTGGACAGTGAAATCAAATGTTTGCGCATGAACTTGTTTAAACGAGCCGGATTACAACAACCACCTATTCGTGGACGCCTCACATCAAGGTTGGGGAGCTCACTTCAACGGAGAAGTAACAGCAGGCCTATGGTCAGAAGCAGAAAAACTCTACCACATCAATTATCTGGAATACGAGGCAGTAATCTGTGCAATATATTTAACTGGGCCCGAAGAAACCCGTCTGATGATCAGAACAGACAATTCAACTGTGGCATACACTATAAACCTTCAAGGCACGATGAAATCAGAGACCCTCCTGAAGTTGACATTTCAACTTTACGAGCTGGGAGACAATTTGAACTTAACAATAAAGGCAAAACATATATAACGGGAGTGGCAAATGTCTTAGCAGACGCCTTATCAAGACCAGCCAAACCATCACCGACAGAATGGAAGCTACACCCAGAAGCATTCCAACTGGCAATAAAAGAAAACAGTTGCCCAGTGATCGACCTATTTGCAACCAGATTCAACAATCAGATAACAACATTTGTATCACCAGTGCCAGACCCTCTAGCCTGGTCAGTTGATGCTCTGTCAATACCATGTGAGGGACTAAACACATATACATTTCCCCCACCAGCCTTGATACTATGGCTATTACAAAAGATCCTACACACGAGCAGCCTACAACTAGCAGGGATTCCAATATTAAAACTTCCAAACTGGCTAAATCTACTGCTGCATCCTCACTCCAAACAGGTCCATCCAAGACCAGATTTATACAAACTTCACGTATGGAGCATATCAATAGCAGTCTCGTTGAAAGAGGATATTCCATAAGAGCAGCTAAGGCAGTTTCCTTAGCACTTCGTAGATCAACGAGGAATCTCTATGACGATAAATGGAAAAGTTTTAACCAGTTTGCGAGATCCAAGGGTTTTTCTGCAGCCAAAGCTACTATACCACAAATAGCAGATTACCTATGTCACTTAAGTACAATGAATCTTAAAGGTTCGACACTCGGCATGTATTTGGCCGCTATTAGTTCTGTACTGACAATGGCTAACGGGATAAATATTACCAAAGTTCCTGAGCTGATAGCCCTACTCAGATCCTTCAGACTTGAGGACCAACAGAAAAAATTTAGAACCTAAATATAGTGCTACAACACCTAATCAGTGATGCATACGGACCTCTCCAACAGGCTGACTCTGAACACCTGACGCAGAAAACCCTATTTCTTCTGGCATTCTTTCTACGGCAGCCAGAATGTCTGAAATCCATGTGATAGACTTCAATCGCATCACATTTGACAGTGGTAACAACTCAACAGACCATCACACCTTGGCTTAAGATGGGACTTTATTGCAAAGAACCAGTTACCAGGCCAACCAGACAGACAATTCCACGTTCCGGCTCTTTCCTCCATCCTGTGCAGAGGATACAGAGGATTTATCACTATGCCCGGTCAGAGCCTTAAGATTATTCCAATAGTCTAAACCTAGAAGACAAGAGTTTAAGAAACTATTTATTCCTTTATTAAGGAATACACACACATAAGTATCCAGAACAACTATCTCAACTACCAAATATCACGAAGACTTGTTGACGTCAGATTACTGTTCCATAACCAACGACCGAGAGTCCATGCCACCTGTTTTACTATGTAATTCAACACATGGGTGAGAAACGTTTGTGTTAAGATCATTGCTTGCTCTTCTCTTAACGCTTTAATCATTTAAGGTGAACAAGATTCTAAATCTTAGAAACCTTATAAATCCACAAATCTTTTAATTTACTTCCATTTTTGCTGCTCACAAAAAAGGAAGGTGGTACCCCATTAAAAGAAATAACAAAGAAGATTAACAACATTCCCATGGTGTTTATAGAACAGATCGACGTCAATCACACATACAGGTGGAACCCACCACCTACTGTGAGATTCAAGCAATAAGAATGAGTCAGGATAAGATAAAATATGTATTTTTTTAAGAGTGAAAATATCATTTATACTTATCCTGACTCATACATGAGTACCCTCCTGGCCATCCCCTCTTTCCACTGATGTGTTTCGGACCATTAAGTAGGAACACAGAGAGTGATTAGTTACTGGGCTTGGCCACGTGGTTCTGGTGCGGAGTAAGGGTGCGTTTGGGTGAGCTGTTTTCTCTGTTCTCCACTATTTTCCCTTTACGCCCAATGGAATCTGTTTCGATGGCGAATCGAGACTGGGTTTTTTCTGGTGTTGACTTTTTACTGTTTTGTTGGCAGCGTTCGATGACTTCAGGCTCCCATCAAGTGTTCCCCTGTTCCTGCCTAATAGGGACTTGCCCCAGATGCGGAAGCCTCTCTCCAGTAGACACTTCAGCTTCTCTGCCCTGGAGGAAGAGGAGCCATCATTCCTGGACCCACCTGCTCCTGATGAACTCCTCACGGCAGATGACGTCCTCTTCATGTCTCTAGAAACCACTGATAAAAAATGTTTTATCACAGACTCCCGGCATTCGGGAAGAAGATCAGACTTGGGTCAAACACACAAAAAAGAAATAGAAAACCTGTAAGTCTTTCATAACAGCCAATTATTTAGCTTTTGTTTTGTCCAATGTGTTTTGACTCGAGTACTGGAATGATGTTGTTTTTCAGGAAGAAGGAGAATGAAGAGCTTCAGCAGATCAACACTCGGCTGGGGAAGCAGGTTCTGGACCTAGAATCCAAGAATGAGAAGCAGGAGACTGACCTTGTGACGATCAAGGTCAAGCTGAATCAAGTGATGGAGGACATGACACTTCAGAGTCTGGAGCTTGACAAGGCCACAGCCATGGCTCGCCATGATATATCCATGCGGGACTTGCAAGAGTTCCACCGCCTTGAGAAGGATGACCTGGAGGAACAGATTGCAGCACTGATGAAGGTGAGGTTACATTGCTAGCTGTCAGGTTTGTTTGTTTGTTTGCTGTTTAACGCTGAATTTAGCAATATTCCAGCTGTATGATGGCAGGTGGACCAATTTACAGCACTTATGCTGGTGAGGTTACACTGCATGATGTGCAAAAAAACTGATCATTTATCTGCATGCCTACCTAAGTTCTGAAATGCCAGATAAGTTTGAGCAAGGCAATAAAATATAGTTCACCTGACGGAAATTCATGTGAGTTTAAATCGTCTGTAGTAACATCATCTTCTTTGAAACCACTGCACAATGAAGCTGAAACTGTCTTGTTGCCTTCAATGATGACACCCAAACTTGTTAGGTTTGAATCTGATTTTCCACTAGCAGCAACTATTGTGAAGTTTCGTTTTGTTGACATTTTTAACTGTTGACTACATTTGCAGGTCAGCTTCAGTGTTGTGGTACTATTTTGTTATTGTCTTATGAGTCTTCAAGCCAATTCAAAGGGAAACTGACGTTGTTACAAGATGAGAAATCCCATTTGGTTGAAGTCTTCTTCCACTCCCTACACCCATGCTTGTGCTGTATGAGTGTAGACTGTTACACCTGCTTGCCATGTGTGGTTACAGAAGAAGGAGGAGCTGGAGGGAGAGGCCGTCCCTGCAGATGTCCAGTATGTGAAGAAGGTGGAGATGGAGCTGACCAGGAACTATGACAAGATGATGGAGCTCACCAAGTCGAACAAGGACATGGAGAAAGAGAATGACAAGCTGAAGAAGGAGCTTGCACTGGTCAGTCTCCACACAAGCATTATTACTGTTGTACTCTGTTTTCTTAGAAAATGTCACGTCACAAATACATGTATTTGATTTTTTAAATCAGAGAAATGTTATTCGAAACCAAGTATCCCCCAATGTCATCCTATGCCATATATGTGTACTCAACATCAAAAGCTAAAATATTTTAGTGTATTTTTCAAACAAGTAAAGTTTGGTTGTCAATATTGTAGTACATGTATGGAATCAAGTCACAAAAATGCAACTGCTACAGAAAAGCATGCATTCCATGCAAAAGTTGACTTTTATGCAAGCCCCATGCATTTCACTACCCAAGAATGGGTATAAAAACGTGCGTGAACGGGATTCCATATGCATTGTTTAGCATCGTGCTGCCAACAACCACTCAGAAAAACAACAAAATTACGCAATTATTCAACATTACGAAATGCCACGCCTGTCCGAAAATGAGCCATTGATATGCTTGAAGCAGAATCAAGTCAACGTGATGTTGCAAGACAATTTAATGTCCACAGAAACACCATTTGGTGTTCATGGCAACGTTGGCAACAGACGAATGCAGTCAGAGACCATCCTCGGAGTGGCGGGCCACACGTAACCAATAATCGACAAGACAACTGGATTCAAACAACACACCTACGAAATCGATTCCAGCCAGCAACAGTGACTGCAAGAAGCATCCCTGGCCTTCGACGAATACGTCGCTGCCTCAGATGTGCAGGGATTGTCGCCAGAAGACCCGCCAGATGTCCCATTTTGACAGGAAACCACCGTCAAGCACGTCTACAATGGTGCAGACAGCATCTATGCTGGACAGCCATGCAGTGGGGACAAGTTCTATTCACTGACGAGTCCCGTTTTCACCTCAGCCACAGCGATGGGCGGATTCGAGTGTACCGACGTCGAGGTGAACTTTACGTAAATCTTTGTGTCAGGGAAGAAGATCAGTTCAGGGGCGGCAGCGTTATGGTATGGGGTGAGATTACAGCAAGACAGAGAACCCGTTTGATAGTGGTAGAGGGAAATCTCAATGAACAGCGCTACCGCGACGAGCTCATCGGCCCTGTTGTTCTACCATTTTTGCGTCATCATGGCCCAGGCATTACCTTTCAACATGACAACGCCCGGCCTCATATTGCTCGACTTGTTCAGGATTCCCTTCAACAAAACAACGTGAATGTCATCCCCTGATCTCTCACCAATCGAGCACATGTGGGATGAGATGGATCGGCGCCTTGGACGTTAACCACATGTTCCACAGACACTCCAGGAACTTCTAAACATGCTCATGCAGAAATGAACAGATATCCCCAGGACTTTGTGCGACACCTGGTCCATTCCATGAGACAAAGATGTGTTGCTTGCATCGCAACCAGAGGTGGACACAAACGCTATTGATTTGTAAATTGACATTTTGGCATGTTCATGTTTTTTATGAAATCACATATTTTCTGAAGTCAGTATGGCAAATTAAACCATTTGAACACTTACAGGAGTCTTTTATCTGTTGCAAACTGAAATTGTTTCAGATTTGGTAAAAAACATAACTTTGCATTAAATCTTATTCAATGTCACAGGAGCTTTGTTGTTCAGTATATGTCCAGTCAGATCAGAGTATCCCCCAATGTCATACTGGGACTAATATTGCCATCCATGTATATCCAGTCAGATCAGAGTATCCCCCAATGTCATACTGGGACTAATATTGCCATCCATGTATATCCAGTCAGATCAGAGTATCCCCCAATGTCATACTGGGACTAATATTGCCATCCATGTATATCCAGTCAGATCAGAGTATCCCCCAATGTCATACTGGGACTAATATTGCCATCCATGTATATCCAGTCAGATCAGAGTATCCCCCAATGTCATACTGGGACTAATATTGCCATCCATGTATATCCAGTCAGATCAGAGTATATCCCAATGTCATACTGGGACTAATATTGACATCCATGTATATCCAGTCAGATCAGAGTATCCCCCAATGTCATACTGGGACTAATATTGCCATCCATGTATATCCAGTCAGATCAGAGTATCCCCCAATGTCATACTGGGACTAATATTGCCATCCATGTATATCCAGTCAGATCAGAGTATCTCCCGATGTCATACTGGGACTAATATTGCCATCCATGTATATCCAGTCAGATCAGAGTATCCCCCAATGTCATACTGGGACTAATATTGCCATCCATGTATATCCAGTCAGATCAGAGTATCCCCCAATGTCATACTGGGACTAATATTGCCATCCATGTATATCCAGTCAGATCAGAGTATCCCCCAATGTCATACTGGGACTAATATTGCCATCCATGTATATCCAGTCAGATCAGAGTATCCCCGAAAGTCATACTGGGATTAATATTGCCATCCATGTATATCCAGTCAGATCAGAGTATCCCCCAATGTCATACTGGGACTAATATTGCCATCCATGTATATCCAGTCAGATCAGAGTATCCCCCAATGTCATACTGGGACTAATATTGCCATCCATGTATATCCAGTCCGATCAGAGTATCCCCCAATGTCATACTGGGACTAATATTGCCATCTTTGTATCCAGTCAAGGGGAGAGGTGGAGCGCAAGCTGCGCACAAACGATGACTACATTGGAATGTTAGAGAAACAAGTAAACCAGAGCCAGGAGAAGATTAAGAGCTATGAGAGGATGAGTGTTGGATCTGTTCCAGTTGGAAAGCAGGTAAACGTATCTATGAAACTTTCCAAATGTCCAAATATTCCCCATCACATGATTCAAAGGGCTAGTTAACACGAACATTGAAACATGTTCTCAAAGTAAACAAAAGAGGTGTTATTGTTGTTATGTTTGAAATTCTCTTATTTCTTCTGCTGACCCAACACATTACAATATCCTTCTTTTTGACCGTATAACACAGAACCCAAATTGTGCCTTTTCTTCATCCGGATGCCTGTGGCCCTAGATTACCAGTAACAGCTATCTGTCTTTGATCGCTCATTTTCCTTCTCATTGCGGGCGGTCGGGTAGCCTTGTGGTCGAAGTGTTCGCTCGTCACGCCGAAGACTCCCGACATGGGTACAATGTTAGAAGCCCATTTCTGGTGTCCCCTGCCATGATATTGCTGTAATATTGCTAAAAGCGGCGTAAAACCATACTCCTTCTCATTGCACAAGAGGAAATACATATACTTGCTTTTGGGAATTTGGGAACAGTGTTTTCCTAAAAACAACACACCGCATATATGTTTATTCTGTTGACTGTCATTAAGGAAGTTCAAAGACAATAAAAAAATTGAACCAACAACAGTTCACTGATTGGGGCGGTTTACGATGCCTTGTTTGACACAAGTGGGTAGAACTCTTGACCCCAGCAGTGATAACTCACAGGATGCCTATTGTGTTATTCCTATTCCTTAAATGACATTGCTCAGTAAACCTTGTTTGTGTATATATTCAAGTTGGTATTTCTGCTATCCAAAGTTGATAGATATTTTGGAGACATAATGAAGACCACTCGCATTTTTCTCATTTAATTCACGATCGCATTAATTTCATGATTTACAGTATTTATGGAGGCATAGGTGACCCACACATCTAAGGCACCACAATTTGCCATGCAGAGTTGCGTCCCTTGGGCACGCCAGGAACCTATAATTAGGGGTTTAAGTCCTGATTCAATCTGATTATGTCGTGCTAGTGGGTTTCACCAGGGCCATTATTGTTATTATGACTACAGTTACTGACAAGGATTAGCTATTATTTTATAACTTATCCTGCATTACTCCTTAATGCATTCACTGCTTACCTTTTGATAGAAGTGAAGCTGTGATTGATCCTGCTGAAGAGAGAAGTGTTGTTTCATTCTAAGCAGGACCCTCCCCATCACCAGCTTCCACGTCATACTGGATGTGGTTGACTGTTCATATCACTGTTGGTCAACATACAGAATACATATCCTCAATTGCCCGTTTGGCCTTCATGGAAACAGAAATAAGGCATTCACTATCTGCACTGGTTGGGTTTCACCAGAGTGATCCTAGTAGATTGCAGATTGACCATATGCGCAATCACCTGAAGGCGGCTTTAGCTGAGATTACCGCCACCCACCGTCTGTGGTATTTGGCTTTATCCAATTGGAATTCTGAATTTAAGCTTTGGCTCCTCCATCAGTCTTGGTCAGCCACAACATTATTTAATTCTCCGATTGCGGATCAGCAGGCCTTGGCAGTCGATGCACTAAGCATCCCATGGGAGGGGTTAAAAGCATATGCTTTTCCACCCCCAGTATTCTTCCCAAGGTGATACAAAAGATAGGGGCAACCAGGAGACTCGCTCTGAATATGATCGTGCCTTGGTGGCTGGCGAGAAGGTGGTTCATGGACCAAAGAAACCTTGTAAAAGCAAACCACTACTTCTTCCGAGTTGGTCCAACCTACTGGTGCATCCACACGCCAGGCAGGTTTCATCTAAACGCCTGGTTCATTTACAAAGAGCCCAAGGCAAGAAAGGCTATTTGGCATGCTATGAGTGAGTGAGTTAATATTTAACGCAACATTGGCAATATTTCAGCCATATCGTGACGAGGCTATTGCTATGACACATAGACCCTCGACTAAAGGCCTTTATGATGATAAGTGGCTATCATTTGAGACCTATTGTAAAGCAAAAGGCTCAGGATCCCACTATAACCATGCCTTAATTCTTATTTGAGTATCTCCTACACTTGTATACCAAACAACACTTGAAAGGTAACACCATCAACACATATTGGGTAGCTTTAATTTCAGTTTTGGCAGTACCATAGGAATGAAAAATAACCAAGGTTCTGAAACTGCAAGCGGTGACCCTGCCTTTCTTTAAGTTGCCTACAATCTTATATATATTCAATGCAGTCTTCGACATATATATGTTACAGGAAACAAGTATAATCAGTGATTAAGTCTAATGACTGAAAATTTCAGTGATTATGTCTAATAACTGATTCACTCGGTGGTTATGTCTTATTACTGAAATCTTCAGTAATTAGACATAATCACTGAAATGAACCAAGGGATTTTATACTTGTTTACTGAAAGCATATCCCTGGCTTGTTTTTATAATGTGTGCTAGTTTTGAAATTAGATTAGCTATCAAAGTAAATACAGCCTCCTGTAACCAGATACCTTACACAAAAATCACAGATATAAGCTTAAACAGTTCAATCTTTTATTTCATAAAATGGTATGACGTGAATGGTATGACATGAATGGTATGACAAATAGCAGTCAGATGGACACTCAGGAATGTTTGTTTGCACATGAAAGACTTGAATGACATCTAGAATTACATTGCATCTTGGCCTTAAAACATTTGCAGCGATTGGTCTGCCACCGTTTAGTTCCAACACAATTACACCTTACAAAGCCTTGACCACCACAGACTGAGTCAAGTTGAACCGCTTGAAGCAAAGAGAGTGTTCGATCGGTATTGAAATCGGTATTGAAACTGGACGAACTTAAGTCCTACAGTCCAATCACTGGTGTCATTGTCTCCAAGCCAAGCAACTAGAATGTCTTTAATGTCACAGTTCGCCCTCTCTACAGAACCTTGGCTTTGGGGATGTCGAGGCTTTCCGTTTGTTTACAGGAGATTGGCTTAATTAGGACAGGACAGCCTTCTCACAAGTTATTATAAAAAGGCAGGGATATGCTTTCAGTAAACAAGTATAAAATCCCTTGGTTCATTTCAGTGATTATGTCTAATTACTGAAGATTTCAGTAATTAGACATAACCACCGAGTGAATCAGTTATTAGACATAATCACTGAAATTTCCAGTTATTAGACTTAATCACTGGTTATACTTGTTTCCTGTAACATATATATATATATATGACAACACATCACCAGTCTTGAATGTAGCCTGGCAGTAGCTGGTTGTTTCAGTGAAGCTTAACTCTGTTTACAAGGGAGATAATAAGTATATGTCTTTGCAACCGATTTGTGACCTTCATTGTACGAGGGATATGCTGTGAATGATGACAAGAACATAGACATAACCACCTCGCAGTCTTGTGTGTACGGTCAGGGGGTCAGGCAAGACTTGCACATCAAGAGCCTAGAGTTCTTAGCCATCATACTGGCGATAGATTAAAATAGATCACTGGAAACCACGCTGGAAACCAGGCTGCCAGAGCTCTGGTCTCCACTGACAACTCCATAGTGACACACTACATCAACAAAATGCGGTTAGCAAACTCCAGTGACATGTTTGGCAGAACATTCCTGTTCTACAGGTTTGATAGACAGTGTGCCACTGGAGACTAGGGCTTGCCACATCCCATACTTAGGCAGCATCAGTTTACTCAAACAATATTGCAACTTGTCTGCTTTGGTTGATGTGGCAACAGCTGGACATGCCCAACGTCCATCTGGGCACTACACCACCAGCTTCCAGTGTTCGACTCAATTTCCACTGGCCTTAGATCATGACGCGCTAGACATATCTTGGGAAAAATCTCCACACCAACACTTTTCCAACTGCTTTTGGTTGCCCCTAACTGACCCAGGTGACTGGTTCCTGGAACTAAAAAAATCACAGGAAACCCAGTCATGAAACTTCCATGCTGGGAAAATCTTGCAAACAGCAGGCACATGAACGAAGGCACAGCTATTGGGTTCTCGATCAGAGTGTGGGCGCACAAGAGTTCCAATGGACTTGCCTCTGAAACCAAAGGGATTCTTTCACAGCCTACTGCAAGACAAGAGGATGGATCCCATGTAGGTGTTGTCTCAGTCAATCACATACTACTTGCTATTTCCACGAACAGCCAAAAAGTTCCAGTTTGGAAGCATAGTTGCAGCCATAAACCCAGTTCTAGCATCTCCTAGGTCCAGCTAAGTGCAGAAGATAACAGCCAACTGACTTTTAGGTCAGATGAAGCACTTCACACCTACAGCCTGGGACCTGGGTGTATCAGGGCAGTGCAAATTGATGGAGCAAACAGAATTCAGTCTTTCACCCGATAGACTGTTTTTCCCAGTCTTGGTTATGTCATCTGGCATTGAAGAGATACATGCCTTGGATGCAACCCAGATAAAGCTGACAGTGGAACAGATGCCAAAGTTCATATAGGCCTCATGTGGAATGTGGACGTCAGACACCAACAACTAATAACAGCAGTTTCATTATATCACTGCTGTTATCAGCACTGGGCTATGATGACACTATGGATTTGATTTGTCCAGCATGTGTACTGAATCACACCTGGTATTGTCTCTACCCCATCTGGATATCTAGCTACATGTTGATGAGAAGGTAGTAAGGGATCAAGGCCAGATAACTCTGATTGCCCCAAATGTGGAAGAGTTGTTTTGTATTCTGTGTTATATGATTGGAGTGAAGAAGGAAATTGAAATGTTTGTGCCAGGATAAATGTACAGATATGAATATCCAATATCATGTAATATTTTTATCACTATTTGGTATATCATTAGAATTTTACACAACAACCATCACACACAAAATCTATCCTTAAACCGGGATACAATAGGAGCATATGATCAAACGCTAGTATCCAAATAAAAAATATATTCAGCAGCACAAACATGTCTATTTTGACCTACATCAGCTAATTGTTCTGTAAACCATTCAATATAACAAGTGTGCTATGGTATTACTGGAATATTGGTGACTGCAGAGTAAAGGAACATTTACTCACAGTCATTACTAATGAACACCACTTGTTGGTTAGATTTGTATTCCCTAGGGGGGGGCATGGGTGGCCCAGTCGTCTAAGGTGCCACAATTCGCTGTGCAGAGTTGCGTCTCTTGGGCATCGCCAGAAACCTATGATTGGGGTTCGAAATCCCAGTTCGCCTATGTTTCTAGGTTTGTCAGCACCATACCCGTGCTAGTGGGTTTTACCAAAGTGGTAAACGTCTGAGACCTGCATCACTTCGGGCTTTCCTCCCACATTAAGCTGACATGCCGCGATATAACTGGGATACTGTTAAAAGTGGCGTTAAACCCAACTCACTCACTCACTTGTATTCCTCAGCCATGCAAAGATCCACTGTGTCCATCATGAGTTTGAAGCAAAGGTGTTCCCTGATAATGATATCTGGTTTGACAATACTGTGTCTGTGCTGGTTGGGTTTCACCGGAGTGGTCCTGATAGTAACATCTTTGACTGCACTACTTGGGCTTTCCTCCAACATGCTGAGAGGCTTAAATGTGGCTGACATATTGTTCAATGCAGTGTTAAACCCAACTATCACCCACTATGCAGAGAAAAGAGGATATTGGTTCATTCATGGAACACAACACGTCATCACAGAAATGTGTGAAGTAAACATTTGAACTTAATATTTATCATAGATTATGTTTATTTTTCTGTGTTAGTGTATGCAGAATGAAGCTGTGCATCTATGTACAATTGCCCTACAGGTAACAGCTGAAAGATGGTCCAGTGAAAAGAAATTCATTTCTGTCATGTATGTTCTTTGCAGCTTGATGCTACACTTGAAGCTACAGTTGAAAGTCTCAGGAAAGACAAAGATGACCTCGAGGCACTGATTGCATCCAAGAATGCAGAAATAACACAACTTTCTGGACAAAAAAGGAGTTCATCTATTGATCAATGTGATATGTTGAAGAAATTAGACTCTCAACTTACTGATCTTTTGAAAGAGAAAACAGAAAGTGAAATGAAATTTGAAAAGGAAAGGGAAAAGTTAGAAAAAGTTATTGTTGAAAAGGATGCAGAACTTGATGCTCTAGCTGTGGCATCTGTAACACAGGTAACAACTGAGGAAGGGAATATTAAAGCTGCGGCAAAAGGTTTTGATGACCAGCTTGACAATGGGGAGCTTGTCAAACAGCTCAGTGATCAGAGACAGGAACAAGAGGGGATGCAGGCGCAGAATGAGGAGCTTGTCAAACAGCTCAGTGATTACAGACAGGAACAAGAGGTGAAGCTGCAGCAGAATGGGGAGCTTGTCAAACAGCTCAGTGATCAGAGACAGGAACAAGAGGGGATGCAGGCGCAGTATGAGGAGCTTGTCAAACAGCTCAGTGATTACAAACAGGACCAAGAGCTGAAGCTGCAGCAGAATGAAGAGCTTGTCAAACAGCTTAGTGATCAGAGACAGGAACAAGAGGGGATGCAGGCGCAGTATGAGGAGCTTGTCAAACAGCTCAGTGATTACAAACAGGACCAAGAGCTGAAGCTGCAGCAGAATGAGGAGCTGGTCAAACAGCTCAGTGATCAGAGACAGGAACAAGAGGTGATGCAGGCGCAGAATGAGGAGCTTGTCAAACAGCTCAGTGATTACAGACAGGAACAAGAGGTGAAGCTGCAGCAGAATGGGGAGCTTGTCAAACAGCTCAGTGATCAGAGACAGGAACAAGAGGGGATGCAGGCGCAGAATGAAGAGACTGTCAAACAGCTCAGTGATTACAGACAGGAACAAGAGGTGAAGCTGCAGCAGAATGAAGAGCTTGTCAAACAGCTCAGTGATCAGAGACAGGAACAAGAGGTGATGCTGGCGCAGTATGAAGAGACTGTCAAACAGCTCAGTGATTACAGACAGGACCAAGAGCTGAAGCTGCAGCAGAATGAAGAGCTTGTCAAACAGCTCAGTGATCAGAGACAGGAACAAGAGGGGATGCAGGCGCAGAATGAGGAGCTTGTCAAACAGCTCAGTGATTACAGACAGGAACAAGAGGTGAAGCTGCAGCAGAATGAGGAGCTGGTCAAACAGCTCAGTGATCAGAGACAGGAACAAGAGGGGATGCAGGCGCAGAATGAGGAGCTTGTCAAACAGCTCAGTGATTACAGACAGGAACAAGAGCTGAAGCTGCAGCAGAATGAAGAGCTGGTCAAACAGCTCAGTGATCAGAGACAGGAACAAGAGGTGATGCAGGCGCAGAATGAGGAGCTTGTCAAGCAGCTTAATGGAGCTAAGCTGGAATTGGAAGTGATGCTTGCAGAGAGGATATGCTCTGAGGATAAGGTCAATGATCTGGAGAAGATTATCCAGGAGAAAATCTCTCTGAATACATTGAGAGATAAAGAAACACTTCGTGACATTTCAAAGAAGGGGAATAACTTTGAAAGAAGCATGCATATGTCACAGTCAGACATTGTTATACATTCCTTTGATGCTGATGTCACAGTTTCTAATGTTGACTTATCAGTGAAATTGTCAGATGGTCCAATGTCAATTGCTGATGAACTTTCATTAGCTTCACGGTCTAAAGCTCAATCTTTGTCTCTAGCTGATGAACTAACCTTTCTGTCAAGGCAGCAAATGAAACCTATGTCTCTTGCTGATGAATTAAATACAGTCACTCAACCAGGTCAAACTGCACAAGCTGTTTTAATGAAAGATGAAGAACTCCAAACATCTTTGGATATTGTGGACAAGGTTCAGTGTAAAACTGATATTGAAGAACAATTGAAAAGTATGACAGAAGAAATGAAAAATATTAAACAGGACAAACTTGATATGGCAAGGAATTTGCAAGTGAAAGAATCTGAGGTAAAGAATCTCACTCAAACAGTTTGCAAACTGGAACGAGATCTTGATGAAAGACAGGAAGAGCTAGAGACATTCTCCGATGAGCTTTTGAGACGGCAAGACCTCATTAGTGAGAACCTGGAAAAGAGAATATCCCTGGAACAGGAACTGCGGGAACAGAAGGAGGCTATGGAGGATCAACAAGTCAAAACTAAGCAGCTTAAAAAGAAACTTGAAAAGAGAGAAAATGGTTTGACACAGAATTTGGGAAACCATACAAGTGAAATAATTGCAGAACAGAAAGTCTCCCCTCAACTGTCAGATGACACTGACACTGAAGAAGATGAAGTGACATTTTCAGTTAAGGAGATAGCACCTGAGGTTTCCCAGTCAAAGATCAGGGACTTGGAAGCTGTCATAAATGAAAAGGAATGTCTGCTTGAAGCAGCAAAAATCGAGCATAAAGAACAAGAAATGAAGATCCAAGACCTACATCAGCATGTGGAGTTACACTCTGGAGTTGATAATGAGGGAAAGATAATTAAACTGGAATGCAGTCTTCATGAGAGAGTGAGTGAAATAGAGGATCTGAAATGTGAGAAATTAGAACTTGAACATAAATTGAAAGATCTGCAAGGACGGCTTCAGGAGAAATCAGAATGTCAGCCTGATGTGTCCAGCAGCGAAGATTCTCTGAAGAGAGGGCAAGAACTACAGGCTGATATCCAAGAAAAACAAGAACAGCTGGACAAGACAAGTCAGGAGCTACAAAAGGTGCAGGAAGAGATGACGACTGTCAGAACCAGTCTGGAAGCTGCAAGTGCTTTATTAGAGGTAAAGGACAGGGAGGTTTTCAAACTTGTTGAACAGAGAAACTCTGATCTTGAGGAAATTGCAAAACTTCAGAGGGAAACACAAGAAGAAATACGTAAGAATAAGGAAAATGTTGATATGAAAGAAAATGAAATCAGTGAACTGAAGGTCTCACTTAAAAATCTGAAGTCTTATGTGGCTGAGAAGGAGTCCAAGACAAGTGAAAAGGACGTGGCCATTGAAGAGTTGGAGGCCAAATTGAGTGCTGCTGTTGCTCTGGAGGAAGAAGGGAAAGAACTGACCATAAAATTGAACCAGAGTGTGGTCAATGTTGAGGCAAAGGCTAAACAGATAGATGAAATGACTGAGATGATTGCTCAAGGTAAGATTAAACTGGAAGTTTATGAGATGGAAGTAGAAACACTTAACCAGAGGGTTGTTGAGGTTCAAGAACAAATGGCTATGAATGAGGCAGAATTTGATGACATTAAAGTGGCTGGTATGGAAAAGATTGATTCTTTGACTGATGAGTCTTCAGAACTGCAATACAAAGTAGCACACTTAGAAAGCTGTTTAGAGGAAAAAGAGAATGAAATTCATGACATCAATGATCAAGTTGACAAAATCATTCAGGACAAATTACAAGATAGCCAAATGGAGATTTTGGCTAAAGAACAAGAAATAAAATCCCTGTTAGACAGTGTTTCATCCTTGGAAGAGGTCATTAAGGACAAAGACCATGAGATTGAGAGGGTTCTGTCTGAAAAAATGAAGTTACAGGAAGGAGGAGAAGAGATGCTGAAGCTGGTGCAGGAAAAGCATGAGCTGGAGGAGAAGTTGAGGGAGAAGACTATAGAAATGGCCAGTCTTGAGGATGAAAAGTCTCGAATAGAAACTGAGCTGACTCACAAAACAACAGAATTGCAGGTTATGGTTGAATACAAGAACAAACAGGATGTGGAGCTGGAAGAAAAAATCACAGAGATTGAAAGTTTATCCAATGAGATTCTAAAACTAGAAGATAATGTTGTGGAGAAAGCACAAGATTTGGGTATTCTTCAGGAGGAGAAGATGAGTACTGAGGCAATCCTACAGAATAAGTCAGCTTTGCTGGAGGATCTGGGCAAGAAGATGAATGAGTTTGAGAATCTGTTTCAAGAGAAATCAGATGAGGTGGATCAGTGTAGGGTATGCATTCAGACTTTGGAAGGAACCATAAAGATACTTGAAGAAGAATTACAGAAAATTACGAACAAGAAATCACAAGAGGTACATGGATCGGAATTACATGTCTTAAGGACAAATCTCCAGTCAAAGGTGGAGGAAGTTTCCAGACTGAAGGCTGAGATTGAAAGGCTGATGGAAACCTCCAACAGAAAATGTCTCCTGAATCATCTGTTTGCAAGACTCAACACAGGTGGTAAAAGTGATCTAACAGGCTTCATTGAGGCTTTAGACAAGGTAAGATGAAGTCTTAGATTGTTTATGTGTCTGAAACTAAATCATTATGCTAAAAGCAAAAAGGAGTATAACATTATGTTGTAATAAGACACATGTTCGTTGTCTGTCGTCATTCTCTATTATCATATAATCATAATAACAGGAAAAAGGAGAAATGGTTTTATCAGTAAGTACACGTCTGGCAGGTGTATGTTAATCACTATATGTAAAGAGAAATGGTTGTATCAGTAAGTACACATCTGGCAGGTGTATGTTAATCACTATATGTATATGTAAAGAGAAATGCGGGATTTGTCTATTTCAGGAAGGACATGATGATTTAGCAATTCAGCTGCGAGAACTGAATGTGAAACTTGCCATTGAGGTACGTTAATTGATTGTGCTCTCATTAAGATCAGGAACCTTAAGTGCAATTATGGGTTTTACCTTAATACACAAATACAAGGAATTTCAAACTCTCACGTTACCCTTAATTTTGTGTTCTGATTTGATCATGGTTTGATTAAGACTGATGACTATTAGACAACATTAGTAACCTGTTGTTAACACGGTCATATTTTCCTTCAGAGAGTAGAGATCAACCAGAAACAAAAGCTAAGTGAGACTGAGCTGAAGGAGAAAGACAGAAAGATCAAGCAAATTAATAAGGCAATGGAGGTAGGCAAGTGGCAGGCATGAAGCTTCTGATCTGCTAACTACACTGCCTGTACCCAAGCTTTATAGTCCGTCTCAATGAGCAGTGCAGTGATATTAACAGTTTCACAATTCCTCGCTATGTTTGATGGAACTCGTTAACTTTCCAGATGGCTTTCAAGAATTGACTTTCACTTTGTCAAGTCTTTGAGCTTGCAATGACATTCATACAATGTACCGTATATGACCGCGTATAAGCCGAATTTTGAGGACCAGAAAAAAGATTCTGTAGAAAGGGGTCGGCTTATCCACGGGATACACTTTCATGATAGTATTTTTCAGATCGTGATCTGTCAGAAACATCGCCTGAATGACGGTCCGATAGATTACAACTTCCCGAAAGTTTGGAAGTTGCCACGACTAGAGCCATTATTCTTATAAATTATCAATAAAGTTATTATTATACACCAATGTTGTCATTATTAAAAAAATGTTATGCATGTTACCCCTCCCGATAATAAGTTTTCAATTGAATGTTCAAAGTTTATCGTTCTTCGTAAACTCCACAATCTTTACATGTAACAATATATGTAATTCACAGCTATAATATATAATCCCCAGATAAAATCGCCAATAGCTATTACGTACGCTTTGCAAAGTTCATAAATTGATAGTGAACAAGTGTCTACCTTTATTGAAAGAGGCAAATAAACAACTGTATCGGCGAGTTATCCCGTTTGCCATTTGCAAAAACATGTGATCAGCTGTTACCTGTGACGTCCCGAATGGTGACCACTGTGATTGCTTCCTGTTGTTTAAAGCAACACGGTAAACAAAAATGCCATGCTTACGATGCTGAATTCAAACTGCGAGTCTTCGCTCCAGCTGATATATTTTCTCACGGGTTCATAATTCTATATACACCGATTCACAAAATGGCGCTTGGTTAAATCTTTATTAGAAATAATAATGACTTTTTCAATATAATTACAACGTTTTTCATCTTATATTTTTGAATATTTGCGAGTACCGGCACATGTCTTGCAGTCCGACTTCGCAGTGTTTTTTGTCTTTCAATTCCTGATTCGGCTTATCTGCGGGTCATATCATTTTCTTTCGTATTTCAATGGTCAAATTAACACCTCGGCTTATCTACGGGGTCGGCTTATCCGCGGTCATATACGGTAAGGCTCTTTAACAAAATGTGTTCTCTGAAACATTTAGTGCAGAATAAGCCAAGTATACACATCATCTGCGGATTGCCATATTTATGAACATTACTTCTCTTATTGGTAACCTTCTACATACAAGTGTGTAGGTATTGGTAATTGACTGGCCCATTATAACTTTAGGCAAGAGCAAAGATTCTGTATCTTTTTTTTCTGCTGGCCACATGCCGGACCAGCAGTCAAGTTTACCCCTTCTGACATGGCTTGTAATTCTACCAGTAATCCCTTATTGAAATCAACATGTAGGAATAGAAAGTTCAAAGATAGTGTATGTAAGTTTAATCTTGGAGCAATATTGTAGTCACCTTGTCTTCCAGGATCTCATGAAAAAAGTCATGGAGCATGCCGAGAAGATAGATTCATTAGAGGAGGAGCTGGAAACTGTCAGAGGTTCGTAAGTAAAGGTTCACGACTGAGAAAGGGTGATAATGAAGGTTAAGAACACAGTGAGTGAGTTGTGAACATTCTTATGCTCAGTAATAGTGAGTGATGCTAAGTAATCGAATGTTTGGTATGTTGCTAGTATATCGGGTTAGATTGTGAGAATGTCCAGACCATATCTCTCAAACTAATAGGTATATTTCATGAAACTTTGCACACACAAAGGTCAGGTTGTCAACTGGTACCTTTGGCTATTTAAAGATTTTTAGAATTTTTTAATTTTTTTTCTGTTTCCACGCTAAGTTTGACTTGTGACAGACAACAAGATGGTCTGGACAGTTTTCACATGTGAAGGTAACAAAAGGGAAATATTTAGTGTAAACATTTTTATAAATATATATATTTCTATAAAGCTGCTTTGCAGCAATAGAAACTATCAGTTTCAGTCCACTAGTCCTTATAATGATAACATGTAGCAAAACCTTAAAAAATGTCAAATTTCTACTAGTCCTTATGATACCTTACTATTGGGCAGTTTGGCAAGGACTATAGGATGAGTGCAAATTTCTAACTCTACTGCAATCTATAAGATTTCATTATTATCTCCCGCCATGAAGTGGAAGGCGGATATAGGAATGGGTGCCGTCCTGTTATCCTTCCGTCCATCCGTCAATCACATTTCGTTTCCAAAGCAGATCTTGAAAACTGTACCATATTTCTTCACCAAACTTGGCACATAGATAGGTCTATTGGTGAACTGGTGCCTTTTCATAGTTTGGGATTTCATTTTTTTTTTTTTTGGAGTTTCCATCGCAACGACTTTGATTTAGACTGAAAATGGCGGTAGTCCTTGTTTCCGGAGGAGATCTTAAAAACTGTACCATATTTGTTCACCAAACTTGGCACATAGTGTCATCTTGCAGTACTGAATACATTTCCTTTTTTGCTTGTAAGTTCTGCATTGCTTGTGTGTATGTTCCTCCAAAAGTGGGCCGCCTCCGTGGTCTTGTGGTAGAGCGTCTGCCTGGAGAGCGGAAGGTCCGGGGTTCGATCCCCAGCAGCGTCATACCAAAAGACGTTAAAAGATGGTACTTGTTGTTACCCTGTCTGGCGCTCGGCATTAAGGGGCTAAAACAAGGACTGGTTGGCTCAGAGTCAGTATACTGTGTCTGAGTGGGGTATTCATGTTAAACTGCGTCATGGTATCTCATTGAGCTAGCACTATAAATCGGCATCAGTCCGGACTATTACAAGCTGCCACGCACACACGGGCATGCACGTCGCTATATAAGTGCAATTATCTTGGACGCGACGTTAAACCCAATTTCACCTCACCTCACCTCCTCCAAAAGTGTCATGGATACGGTTGTTGCATTCACTGACTTACTTCATGCAGAAACACAACTCATTACAAATACAACAGTCTTAATCTTAAACCTACTCAACTGTATAAGCATTCCCTCCTGTCCTGAATATATTCTTGTCAACCATACTCTGTATTTCACTTGCTTGATAACGGTGTTAGAACCTACACCAAAACCATCGATCCTAATTGTAATAAAGAAGTTGTTCGTCCATATGTCCCATCCTTACTCATTACAAATACAGTTACATATTCTATCATAAACTGCAGACGGCAAAACAACACCAGTACCGGTAATAACTTTTTTTAAAGCTGCAATTAGGCCATTTACAAAAAGGCCGAGTGAACATAGTTCACAGGAGCTAATGCACTGCACACACTCGACATGTCATATTGGCGGGGGATATGAGTATTTCATGCTTGTTTTAATGAGAAAGGTGAGCTTTAGTAAATATTGATAACTACAGTGCAACAGATTATAGCATAAGCCATGTACCAATTGTGTGACATCCATCAACATATCTTTGCGAAAAAGGACCTGACATACAAGTACAAAGTTCCAAATCCCAATTTCATGTTATTGTTTTGATAGCTTAATAACTACTCTTATATACGGACATAGGTACACTCTCATGAAGGTGGACAGATCACTCTTGTTGGGCTTACTGTAACAATCAGATGACTTGTTCTTTTGAATTTGTGGGGGCCTTGGAATGTGTCCTCTTCTGAGTGAAAACTTAAGCTGAAAAATTACTTATTTTTAATTAAAACTGACATTAATATATATATATATAATCCTTGTATATTTTTACATTGTATTTGTATCTGTAGGCAAGCTGGCTGCTGAGACAAAGCTCAAGGTGAAGCTCAACCTGGAGGTGCACTCCCTCCGAGACAAAGCCAGAGAAGCCAAAGAAAGGTAAGAAAAAGCACATTTCTGTAGAAAGTGTCTCGCAAACATTCACCTCTATATCTGTGGTAAAAATACAATTTATCTTCAATTGTCACAGTTGATTCAGGGGTTGTCGGGTAGCCAAGTGGTTTAAGCATTCGCTCGTCATGCCGAAGACCCGGGTTCGATTCCCGACATGGGTACAATGTGTGAAGCCCATTTCTGGTGTCCCCTGCTGTGATACGTGATATTGCTGGAATATTGCTAAAAGCGGCGTTAACCCATACTCATTCACTCACAAATAGATTCATGTAGTCCAATGAAACCTATTCATAGCAAGTTGTGAAACAGACAGAAAGGAGGTTTCTCCTCCCCACACTAAGTTCTAGAGGCAATTTTGTTGGCTTTAGACCAAAGATTTCCATTAATCCAATGACAACTATAATAATAGTAATGAAGTCACCAAGCCTGACAAACAAAGGTTCTTTTAATGATTTCATTACACTGGAAGGGCTTATAAGTTGTTATCAAAGTAGTTATGGAAATAAAAAGAAACAGATTTTGTCTTCTTATTTCCAAATGGGAGCTCATTCATTGTTTTTTATATGTTCCCGAAATATCACCAATAACAATAGCCCTAACTGGGGAATGATTATTGTGACCTGCAAGATGGGGGAAAAAACACTTTACAGCACGACTCAGGCTGAAGGTTCTATTTACATCTCCATAACTTGGTTGTTTTACTAATGTCTGTGTTGAGATATGTTCTTGTCATTGTCTATTAATGGTATTTTCCAGTATTTCAAAATTAGTTGTCTTTTTATTTCCATGACTACTTAAAGGTAATATCAGGTAGGCCTGCAGGGCCAAGTTGTATTGCATCAGACAACACATCACCTGATTTGGTCAAGTCACAATGGTTCCTATGTGTTCTGGTGTGCAGTTTTGAGATGTTCCTGAAATGGTGTGGTTGGGGCTGCAGCTGTTGTAATGCAAACATCTTTCTTGTTTGTATCATGATGTGTCATTTGTGATATCAATGTTGCATGATGTGGTTCACATTGTGACTTGCATGGATCTCTTTAGGGCTACTCCAAACTCAGGTTGTTAGAACATGCGGTGTTGTGACTACTCACAAACCAGTGAAGATCAGCACTGTCACATATTTAGCTAACCATGACCAAGTGATCTTTTGACATGGCATGCTGCCTGCATGTCTGCTGTCTGACAATAGGTTTCAGCTTCTGTCAACTGGCAGAAGGGTTGAGCCTATTATGTCAGGCACCATTATTGGAATCAGGTGTTAAAATAAAACAATTAAGTGCTTTTGTTTTTTTTACCTAGGTCTGAAAATCTCAAATAGTGATATGGTAGCAACACAATAGGATACTCAAACTTCTTCTCAGGAACTACCAGGCTGAGAGTGATGAAACTTTATGAAGATGTGTTGGACCGTATTAATATGTTGGATTTGTTCATGGCTAGAAATTGGAAATCTAAGTGCATGTTATTTCAATGTATGTGTATTGTTACACCTGTAGTTTTAACCCGCTGGATGCAAAGGTTTTTTTCTGACACATATTTTCCTAAGATCGGAAAAGTCAAGATTGTGTGAGAATTGCACTGGATCTACCTCTGGCCATAAAATTATTCAGAGATGGAGAAGTTAAATTTCCTATATAATGGTGTCAATTAAACTGCAAATGTTAAACTGGTTTTAAAAAAAGACACTGCTAAGTGTTGTCCGAGAATTTATTCTCCGTTGAAAAACAGGAAATTTCTCCATTTTTATCGTACACCGATAAAAGTACTGTGCGACGATTTCTTTTGTTTAGCAGCTTTACGGAAACTGTGAGCAAACAAAATACTGCCTAATATCTGAACGACGTAACTATATATCAAATGGAGTTATATGCGTATGTATAACAACATACATTCAATGCCAAAAATAGCCTTCCGTAAATGATGAAAACTGATTTTGCTCTATGAAGTCAAAAGGCGAAAGAGAGGTTACACACGTACAAAGAAAAGGGGGCATAACTCTTCTATTCTTAGCACCAGTTTATTGCAACTCAGGTCAAAATCTTGATGTGTAAAACAGAATTGGACGCTTTTTCTACCCAACATAACATGACTGCTTTCACCATGTAAATAATGTCTTGAATATATAAACAATTAGATAGTTTAGTGTGTATCTTAATTGGACAAGACACACACCTGTTTGGCATCAAATTACGTAATGAAATACCTCAAAGAATATTTCAAAAGAATCAAAATTATATTCAATACTGGACATATATTTGTTCATTATTATGTGATTATTTCTCTTCATCTCCTCTCAGAATTACACAATAACAAATGCAAGGAAAGCTCTATTGGTATAGAATTATCAGGATAATTGAATAAGGTTGACCCAACGGGGTACATGGCATGGGTTATATTTCTATACTTTTCACAATTCCTGGAGAAATAAAGTAAACAGTTTAATATCCTGTGATCACAATATTTAAAAAAGGATAAACCCATTGATGTATAATGCAAAACGAGGGGAATAATTTGTAAATTGTTTGTGACTAACACGCACCTGTGGAATTGTTAGATATCACTGTTCTGTGTATCAAACAACATAATAACATTTCCAAGACCAAGACAATTCTTCCAGAAATATATTTAACGAAAAATATTATCCATTTTGTTAAAGTTATATAATCAGTTTCAGTTATAAAATAAAATGAAATGGCTATTGTGATATGAACTTATAATACTGACTATTACACATCCCAAGAAATATGTACATGTTACAGTTACATTTACACTTCATCTTGTAACACTTGTCCAAAGGAAAGAACTATCATATTCGACGATATAAACTTATCAATTCTTATGTAAACAATGTTCAAACAAACAGGAGATTATCAAAGGTTCATTCATGTTGTGGCCCATACCTACGTATGATATCATTTTGAACATTGACAAAATATCTAAAGTGAAATTAATTGAGTGTAAAAACGTATAAAATACATGCAGAATATACACCATAACTGAAACTCTAAACAGCATGATACAGTGATCGTGTGCACTCTCATTCAAGGACCTTCACCTCAAAGAAATTACCAAATATGTACAACAATGTTGACGTATGACATCACTACCGGTGATCGACTTTTACAAAATGGCGTGTTCACTGTCAACAGTACGCGGGATATTACAAGGGGACTGTCGTTGATTCAGGGATTGTATATACATAAATGTGACATGCAAGTAATCAGAAATATTCTGACAATCTATGTACTGTTATTTGTTGTTATATTTTTCATTGAAACAAACGGAAATAGTCAGAAATTCCGATAAATGCTTTTGCCATTGTGTGTGATTTTGCATCAGTCATGGCATCACACAGGACGGTAACTTCTGTTGAAAAGATCAAATCATTGCAATGTATCCATTTTAAATTACCTAATTCTTCCTACGATTCTCTTCCCATGCACATTCTGAAAATGTTGAGCCAATGTCTTGAACGAATGGAGGAATGGATAGCTCAAAATGGGAGAAAATGCTACACTGTGTAAAATCTTGCTTTGTTTACATTTCAAACAAGTGCAGTTTTTCAAGCACAGCGTTCATTTTCATACCTAACTTATTTTGCTTGATTTCATCTTGGCACTTGATGACAAAGACCATTAGTTATTTTATTCTAAAATGTATGAGGACTTCAAGGATGCATGTATCGCAGCTTAGTTTGAAATATATGTGATGTTACAGGCGTCTCATAACCTGTATACTGAAAGGTGATTTTGAAAACACTATCCAATATGGCGCAAAGTTCACGCAGTCTATGCATATTTTCCAAAACATTCTGAAAGGATCTAGGACGATTTGGAATGATCACTGGTGATTTGATAAAAGACAGATACCAGTGATCACTAATATGCTAATTTTAAAATGTAATTCTCCAAGTAAATATCAGAATTTTAGATTTCAAAACATGCTGTTAACAAAGCCGTGAGTGGTGATTTAGTAATATATAAAAAATGGCGACATTTACGATATAATACCTAATTTTCAGAGGTCATCTTCGGTAAATTTGCTTGGCCTGAAATGCCAGTGGATGATGGCACAGAACAGGGAATTTCCCACAATATATAAAACTATGAACAGCTGATGAATTGTATCTGTTTGCCTGTGAATTTGTGTATGTTGCTGTTGTATGCCAGCTCCCCTGCTAACTGATGGCGTATGTCTTCTTCAGGAAAAATGCCCTAGAGGAGGAGGTGGAGTACCAGGAAGGGGTCGTAAAAAAACTCAAGGCAAAGATGAGGACGCTTCAACAAAGCTATGATGCATCTTGTGAGTTTGTGTTTGGTGGAAAGGGCTGCCTGGTTTCCTGGTTTAAGCAGGATCAGGAAGTAGATGTTAGCAGGGGATATATCCCTGCCAGCCAGGATCTGTGCACTGAGAGCACTTGCAAGAATTAACAGTGTATTGCTCCCATAGCTTCAACAGTAATGTGTGTGTTTTTAAGAACTGTGAACAATGCCTAATCCTACAAAATACAAAACCTCTCTTACATGAGTGCCAGAAATGCTGTCACTTGTCATCACTGTAGAAATCTTCAGATTTTCAGCAGAAGTCCTCTTCACTGTCAACTATCAGTTGTGATACCAATAGTATCTCCCTTCCTAAACCTCTTGTGCATATGGAAGGTGGGAAATCCTCAGTTCTTTCCAACAACAGCAACTAGATGCAGTTTATTGGAGAGATGGTTGGGATTAAGCTTGATGTTATAGAGGTAGTACTCTTTGAATTATTGACAATGATTACTATTTGGTGATAATTTCTACAAATACAAATTTATTTTACATCATTGACCAGAAGTATTCAGTGTTCTGCGCATCCAAATTCTGTAATAAAGTTATTGTCTCACAAATATGATACATAAAATTCTTGATTTCGATTTGTCATCAAGATAATGTAAGTTTCTGAATACTTTCTGAATACTTAATAAAACGTCCCTGTTTGTAACGAGTCCTCTGATTGGCTGAAATTAATATTGCTGAATGCCATATGTTATCTTGCCGGTTATCATTGTCTGCACAAAAGGACAGGAAACAAGACTAAATTGAGAATGTCGGTCAACAAAGCAGAGGGACAGAAACAGTAAACTTCTGAGGTTTTTTAGGATAATTGTATCACTTGAGGCTGTGAACTGGATGGCAAAGAGGACATTGCTATTGTCAAATACAGAGCTCCAGATAACTTTTTGAGCACCTGAGTTTTTACTCTAGGGTTTCTATTTTAATTGGGTTAATTACATTTTTCATTGGGTAACCAATATTTTTTCACTCATCCATTCATCACTCAGTTGGGTTTTTCCCAAAATTAGTGAACATTTAAGATTTAAAAAGAGAAATAATGTTTCATAACTGTTCTAAATATAAAGGCTTGACTTGGAAAGTAAATTAGTTCATAATTGTGTCTCGAGAATTAACTCCTTTGTACACATGCTGAAAAAGCTTCATTGGGTATTTGCACGTGCTGTTTTTATACATTTGAGTTTTTCATTAAATGCATGCGTTTCTGTATGCAAGTTAATTGAAAGTAATATGGTTTTGAATATTTGGGGGGTGGGGTATTTTATGCAAATACGCTGCTTATCTGTAGCACTGCAAATATCAAAGTTTGATGAATCTACTTTCACAACTAAACTGTCCCTATTTGGGTGAACTGAAGAGTAGAAACATACTGTTATGACAAAAGTGCTGTTGATATGCTTTCATTAGCCCATGTTATTCACAAGCAACTGGATAATAAATTGATGAGGTCACCCTTTGTCAGTCTGTTATGTGATGAGAGCACTGATGTTGGCATAAGCGAGAAGTTTGTTGTGTACACTAGTGTAACAGATACAAAGACATTTGTAGCATCCACACATTATGTTACAAATGTCTAAATCAAGTCTGCAACTGGTAAAAGCACTGATGAAGTACTTACTACTGTTTTTGGAAGGAAAAAGTGTTCTAGTAGAGAAAGTCATGGGTGATGACAGGTACGGGTGAAGGTGTGACTCTTCAGAGTCCATCCAATGCAAATGAACTTTCCCTATATTGCTCATCGTTTGGCCCTGGTCACTTCACAAGCGGCAAATGAAATCAACTACCTAAGAGACTTCCAGGATACCTTAACAGGATTAGTTTACTACTTAAAAGTTTCTGCAAACAGAACAAAGTTGAATCATCTACAACAGCTTTAAGATGAACCATCATTGAAAATAAAAACGGTTCATAAGGTTCATGATTGGGGTTATCGGTGTATCTTGCCGTGCAGACAATCTACAGGTCATTGGACGCTCTGATATCCTTCTTTGCCACGCAGAAAGACAGCAAAGCTGAGGGTTGTGCCAGTAAGCTTTCCCAATATGACTTCATAGAAACCATCTGTTGATGGATATTTTGCCTGTTATGTCTCAGCTATGTCTGACTTTTCAGAAGTCTGACTTAGATGTGTCCATGGTTCAGGTGTCAGTAGATCATTGCAAATCTGTATTGGAGGGTCTGAAGAAGCGTGAAGCCTTACAAAGTACTTACCTTGAACAGATGCAGAATGAATACTCGACAACAGATGGTGGAAAGCTTGTCTTCAAGGGCAACCATTGTGTCAAGGGGAAATACAACATTGATTCTATGAAGGAAAAGTTTATTGATGAAATTCTTAAGAAACTTGATGACAGATTCCCTGTAAAAAACAGGAACATCTTCTATGCATTTGGTGTGCTTGGTCCGAGGCCATTATCACTTTCTAGTTCTTTTGTAGTCTGTTGAGTTATAAGTCCCCGAAGAGGAACTTCTACATGCCTTCTTGATATAAAACCATTTAAGTTGTATAGGAATCTTCAATCTGCTAAAATATCAATTGTGACTTGTCATGCTCATGTGAACATCATTTTATTTCTGTGTCACAGGTCACAATAACATTGAATTTGCCAGAGTTGTACTTATTGCTTGTGCTCTTGTTTCAGTTGCAGTTTCAGACCCACCAGAGAAGCAGGAAGTGAGCAGCCGCAGCGGGATCATCGACCAGTTCAAGGTGTGTATCCTGGAAGGGGAGAAGAAACAGCTCCAGCTCCGTGTCCGTGAAGAAAAGGCACAGATAGCTCGTTGCTATATGCAAATCAAGTCTCTCGAGGAGGAGAATGATGCACTCAAGAAGAATGTGTAAGTTTAATCCCTGCCTCCTAATAACGATGATAGATCGAAAATAACAGGTTTCCAGCTGGGAGGTTTACGACTATTTTATTCACTCCTTTTTTATTCCCTGAAATTGTTTATGTTACAGTCGGTGTCATTGACGCTTTATATATTTTAACACCACCCAATGTGAAATGTTTTTGCTTGTGATGAGAGAATGTTGAAGGTCAAGATGTGAAGTAGACATACCAAAACCTTGTTCACAATACAAGACAATGCAACTCACTGTGCAGGGTTGTGTCCCTGGGTCGTGCAAGAAACCTAACGATCCCTGTTAACCCTGATTATGTATCCTGGTTTGTCAGCACCATACCTGTGCTGATGGGTTTCACCAAAGTGGTAAACGTCTAGACCAGCATCACTTTCCTCCTACATCACGCTATCACACCATGATGTAATTGTTCAGTGTTCAACCCAACTCACTCACTCACAATATCTTGAGCAGTTATATTTTTAACTTATCCTGCATTACTCCTTAATGCATTCACTGCTAACTTTACAACAAGAAGGGACAGCGTAAAGACGATGGTCCTGGGTGAGGAAATAAACTGTTGTTCTTGAGTCCCACTTTTCAAGACTACTGCCACTGTCTTGTGACCTTGATGACAGGTAAGGTCACCTTCTTCACATCACTGCGTTATAGCATGGACGTGCACCAGGGGAGCTCTCCTTTTGGATTAATTTAGACCTTCAGTTTTCGACTACAATTCTAAAATTGATCTGCGATGGGTGATGTATTCTTTTCATATTACTTAGAAAACAATTGTAACACCGTTCAAAATGGCAGCAAACAACAAGTATGTTGCGGGAAAAAAAGACAGAGTATTTTTACGCCTAAATAATTCACATTAAACTACACAACATGGTGAAGGTAATATGAAAAGAATACATCACCCATCGCAGATCAATTTTAGAATCATAGTCGAAAACTGAAGGTCTAAATTAATCAAAAAGGAGAGCTCCCCTGGTACCTGCTGTAGCGTGCCAGGCAGTGATGTGAAGAAGGTGACCTTACCTGTCATCAAGGTCACAAGACAGCGGCAGTGGTCATGAAAAGTGTGACTCAAGAACAACAGTTTATTTCTTCACCCAGGACCATCGTCGTTTCGCAGTCCCTTCTTGTTGTCGTAAGGTAAGCAGTGAATGCCTTAAGGAGTAATGCAGGATAAATATACAAATGTAAAAAAATATTTAGAAAATTCTAATTTGAGGAATAGTTTTAAATATGATGTCTAGAGTGGGGTTTACAAGATTCTCAGGGGTCATGGGTGGCCTAGTCGTCTAAGGCGCTGCGATTCGCTGTGTAGAGTTGTGTCCCTTGGGCACGCCAGAAACCTATGATTGTGGGTTCGAATCCCGGTTGGACCTGATTATGTTTCTAGGTTTGTCAGCACCATACCCATGCTCATGGGTTTCACCGAAGTGGTAAACATCTGAGACTTGCATCACTTCGGGCTTTCCTTCCACATTAAGCGGACATGCAGTGATATAACTGGAATACTGTTAAAAGCGGCGTTAAACTCACTCACTCACTCACACACTCACTCACTCACTCACTCACTCACTCACTCACTCACTCACTCACTCACTCACTCACTCACTCACTCACTCACTCACTCACTCACTCACTACAAGATTCTCAATGACCTGTGACCATCAAGTTCACCACAAACATTTTTGTCAAAACATGAGTGGTAATCCATCATTAATACATAATCACTTTCTTCTATACTTGCCACATGTGAGGGTCATGATAAATGTCAAGGTTAGTCGGTAATTTCCAATAAATAAAGAGGTATGCTCATGTGCAGTGTATTTATTTGGATCCATTATCTTCAGGCTTTGCAAGAATGAACATGATCAATATTCTGGTGTGATCTTGTTTTGTTTCAGAATTGGTACACCCAAGAATATGAAGCAAGAAAATGAAGAAAAAGGTTTGCTATTATACTTTGTCATCATGTCATTCCTAATAGCTAGAACCTAAAGTAACACATGTCACAATGGAATTCCCATTCTGCACATGTTCACAGTACTACATCTTGATTTGAATTTATCTCTTACAGAGAGTCAACATTGTGGTATCCTGTGTTTTTGTAGTGGAAGCCTACATGAAAGCTGTTCATGAAAATGAGCCCTTGATGGCTACCTTTAAGACAGTTTTACATGTATACTAGCAGGGGAAACTCCTTTGCACCATGAAAAATCACATTAAAATACAATGTGCAACAGGTATTTGAGAATCATGCATGATGAGCATGTAGAAACACTGTTTCATAATGACCCTGAAACTGCACATGCATCCTGTCACAGATTCCGGATCCCAGTACACCTGGGACTGAGTCGGTTCAAACAGAGTAAATTGCTGCAAGTGTTTTAACTGTGAAAAGCAACTTTGTTGACGACCAAATCTTGTAAACGGTATGCAACACTTGTCTGAAAATGAACGGTTGGGTGTAATTGGCATGTTTGAAACCGTTTTCATGCTTATGTCATAGCTAATGTTGGCCATACTTGATACTGGCTTGTGAACTGACAATTGTTCCCACACCACTTTCAGCCTTACAGAGGACATTTGTTGACAATGTCATGATGAATTCATGTTTCATGGACAACAATGTATTGGTCTGTTGCTAAATCATTCTTTTTTACTTGTATGTTTATTATTTCCCATGATTGTCAGCAAAGCACGGGACATTTTTTTCACTATATATCTGGTACATCAGAGAGGCATAACTATTTCAAAGAATATTTTTAGAACTTAACCTATCTCACAAGATGCATTTCTTCCTTCTCCTTGGAAACAATCCTTGAACATGTTTCAAGCAACCTCACCCAAAACACATCCAAGCCGTAACCAAGGTTACCATCACTAATGCACCTCATGCTGCCTGATTACATGACGACCCCAGCTAACTTATTCTCTTTGTTATTGCCCTCATGTGGAAGCAGATTTTCTTCCTCAAGAGGAGTATTATGTTTTGTATTTTTTCTCTGTAAATCAGCTTGTGGGTTTAACATGGACAGCAAGAAATGTATTGTATGTTGGAAAATGCAGGAGAACTTTTTCAGCTTAAGACCCTCACACATGGTGCTGTGACTGTCGATGGCTTTGTACAGAAGCTGAAAGTGCAGCAAGTGTAAGGACCTGTCTGCAGCTGATTTCACAACCTACAAATGCAAGTGTGACAGACATGATATCGATAGATCCAAGTCTGTATCTAAGGAGCATGGACCATGCCTGAAAGGACTGCACTGAAGGTTACTAGACCTTGCTCTTTAACAGGGGCGGTCGGGTAGCCTTGTTGTTAAAAGCGTTCACTTGTCACGCTGGGTACAATGTGTGAAGCCCATTTCTGGTGTTACCCGCCGTGATATTGCTAAGAGCGGCCTCAAACCATACTCACTGGCTCTTCTACAGCCAAGAAATTGTCAGATATGCCTACAATTGCATTGGAAGAAGACAGTTCAGACTCGTTTCTCACAGCCGATCTTATTAACATCTTGCATGCCACAATCAGTCTTTGTACTGACAAGACTTCTACACCTACATCATCAGATGATTGCTAGCTATTTCATCGTTGGGAAGCATCCCACCTGATTACTGCTCCTCCATCAGCAGTCCAATCTATTGATTGGATACAGCATCTGCCCACTGGGCAGAAGGTCATTGGTTAGATCCCCAGCCATGATATTCCCAAAGGCGTTACAAGAAGGTACTTGTTGTTACCCCGCCTGACGCTCATCATAAATGGGCTTAAACAAGGACTGGTAGGCGTCATCCTGCGTAATTTATCGTCTTAAACTAACAAACTTTTGGCTGATAAAGACTTTGAGCACTCAAGACAGTCTTCTTGTTGGCACTGGCTACAGCAGCTTGCATAAGTGAGATCCATTCGCTTGATGTTAACAGGATTCATTTTAAAAGATAGCGCCATAGTAAAGTCTACCTGGGCCTGAGATGGGACTTTGTTGAAAAGAACCAACTCTCTGGACAGCAGGCAAGGTTATTCACCATCACCTCGCTCTCCTCTGTTAGGCCCAGAGGATTGGGGAAGACTTCTCACTCTGCCCACTGAGCGCCCAAGCTTCAGAGAATCTATGACGCTCATGCAAGAGACTCTTCAACTCCTTGTTGATGGCTTCGACTTTGGAAGTATCCAGGACAATAGTGTCTTTTTGGCTAAGCTCTACCTTTGATGATCCAGGTTAGAATTGGTCTTCAGCAACCCATGCTTTGTCACAAGAAGCGACTTACGGGATTGGGTGATCAGACTCGCTGATGTAGTAGATGCATGTCATTGTATCCCTACTGCATAGATCGATACTCATGGTGTCAATTATTTGATTGTCTGGTCCAGCTTAGAAACAACAAATTTTTAGCTAAGCTCAGTCATCCTACAAGCTTGTTCAAAGCAATGAAAGAGATGCAAAGCTGTTCCCCCTTACATTTGCTCTTGTTTCATGCTACGTAGCTGTTCGTTAAATCGGTATCCTGTGCCAAGACATGTAACACGAGTTACCTAACCTCATGAGATTTCATCCTAGTAGCGGAAAGGGGTTTTCAGAAACAACTCACTCACTAGTAATCGTTTTATACAAGCCTAAGACGATGTGATCATGGTTTTAGGACCAGCTTTTTCGTCTATGTCTCGTGGCTGAGGTCTTTACAAGTGTGGGTTTCTGACCCCAACCTTCCAACCGTGGGATTAATGCATAGTGTGAGGACCTGTGAAGATCCGGGGAAGAATAGGTCTTCAGCAACCCATGCTTGTCGTAAGAGGCGACTAACGGGATCGGGTGGTCAGGCTCGCTGACTTGGTTGATGCATGTCATCAATTCCAATTGCGTGGATAGATGCTCATGATATCAATCACTGAATTGTCTGGTCCAGACTCGATTATTTACAGACTGCCGTCATATAGCTGGAATATTGCTGAGAGCAGCATTAAACAACAAACCAGCCACAAAGCATAGTGTGAGATTTTGAGAATTGTATATTTTATTATAAATTGTATATTCATAATACTTATCCTATCTCTAACCCAACCATCCCCACATCACTGTATGGTCACCCTACGCTTTAAGAAAGTGTATGAGTATGCTTGGGACATCTGTGATGAGGAAGCAGGAGGTGCATGTGTTGATTGACCTCTGATGGTCACCTTGGAATCTGTTTGGGTGAGGTGTATTTTGAAGCTTGAAATATTGTCTAGGACCATTTTCACAACGAAATCGAAAGAGGAGAAAGAAATGCATACTGTCAGATAGGATAAGCATGTAAATATACAATTTATTGTCATGGTGATAAGCTAAAGTTCTCCCTAGAATCATGAAAGTGTTGAAATGTTCATTGTTATGAATATTTTGCTAAAATGATAAAGCATTTTTGTGCCACCGATTGTTTGAAATATTCTGTTTATCGAGTCTGTGTTTTTAACAGCAAGTCCGGAGTTTAACTGGAGCCTGTCAGAACTTTTCAAGAAGCGTCGTTCACTGAGCTATGAAGAGGTAAAGGAAAAAGCCGAAGCAATCAGGAAGAAGAATGCAACACCCCTCAAAGACTCATCCAAAGGTAGAACTGCAGATAGATTTACATCCTGCATGGAATAATATGGGCTATAATCTTCTTTTCTCTGATCTTTTTAGCATTAATTTTGTACTCACCTGACTGAAAGTTGTGTGTTGTCTGTCGTTAACCGTAACATTTTCAACGTCTCCTCTGTAACTACAAGGCCTAAGGAGCTGAAATTTTGTATGAATGTTTTCAGCCATGCTGTCTCTAAAATTTTCCCACCCAATATTTTTTACATGGCTGCCTTGGAGAAATGTGCTCTTATATTAATACTGCCACCTCTTGTTACAGAAAACCAGTTGAAAAGTCCAACGCCAGTGTTCAGCACTGGACGATTGACAGGGAAATCTTCAGCAAAGGAAGGTCATGAGAACTGCAAAATTCAGTGAGGATTCGCTAAGCATATGCTTGTGAAACACTTTTGCTCCACAATTTTGAGGCACAGATTGGCAAGTCCCCTAAAGTTTGACAATTTGCATTATAAAGGTGTTTTCCAAAGGGATGCTGAAATGCAATGACTGTGCCTGATAAATTTATTTTGCTCCGATTTTGATCCTTGGTTTCCAGTGTCACCGAGCTGTTCAAAAAGAAGATTGTTGTTTTGTGTAGATCTTTTCATTGGTAATAACCATTACAAAAAGATTTTAAATATATATATTCATATATGAGCATATTGTATATAAACTACCACATGCTTTGTGGATTTTTAATATCATCTTTTGCATGACCTAGTGGTTAAAGCATTCGCTTGTCATGCCAAAGACATGGGTTCGATTCCGGACATGGGTACAATGTGTGAAGGCCATTTCTGGTGTCCCTCGCTGTGATATTGCTGAAATATTTGTAAAAGCGGCATAAAACCATAACCATCACTCACTCTAATCTTTATTCTGTGAAGGAAATTCACATGTAGATAATAAGTTCTAATATCTTTTCAGAGAATATGTTGTGAATTTTATTTAGTTTGATTGCTGGTGCCTGTGCTGAAGGAATTAAGGAGAATATCCTGTGAATGTGCTTTGACTGTTGTTGTGAAGTCAAATGCCACCAATAAAAAATTCAAATTAGAAGAAAAAAAGTTATTCAGCAATTAGGTTGCTTCTTTTACAAATAAAGTTCTCTAACATTTGTCTACTATCTCGTTTTCTTTATTCCCACCATTCTTCTGTCTTTTTACACAACTGGAACTGCTTCCGCTTATCAAAACCGGACCATCAACCGAACCAAGGCAGGATATTGACAAAATCAAATAGTTAACAATCTCATTTCAATTTCTTTTTTAGAAAAGATAATGCAAAAAACAAAAGGTGTCCTGCTCACAATAATATGAACCAGAAGTGAACAATGTGGAGATTATAACATAAGATGCATCATAGAAATAATTGTTCTTTAAAGTCATAATCTGCAAAATAAATGTCCGTACACCTCACATGGCATGTTGCATAGATCATGAACATGATGTATAATGATACACGCCATTTGTCTTTCAATTGTAATGGTGCCACACACCATCATCAAGGACTTTCAACAGCGTCAGACAATCTGCGAGCAGTTGCTTACTCACCCAGACAATAGGATGTGTTTGATTTGTTTCTGTTCAATGAGTTCTTTAATACTGCTAATCGCCATTCTAAGCCTTTTATCATTCACAAACTTTGTGAATTTCACAGCATTAAAAAATTAATGACAATCTGTAACACAGGTGATCGGCAGTACATCTGGTTGTGTTTTGTTAGTTTGTTGTTTAATGCTGCACTGAGCAATATTCCAGCTATATGACGGCGGTACATCTGGTTGTGCATGCCCTGTTGTCAACTCAGAATACAATGTAGCAAGAAATATACTACTGTCAGTGCCATGGCCAATGTTTCCCCTGCAAAGTACTCCTCACTACACGTCGAACATGCCTCGATTGCCAACTAAGGGGTGAGAAAGAACTGTTCTCTCCAACAAGCATTATCTGATGACCACCTTGAGTACCACCATCAGGTAAGTTGCCAAGCAAGGCATCACTGAACTCAACTAGTTCCAGGGTATTCTCATCACCCAGGAATTAGAATCAAAGGGCAGCCTTTTCAGACTTCAACTTCTTGACAGCCTTATTGGCCTCAATAATATCTTGCACAGTAGCCTTCTTTGTGGAGGCTGCCAAACTGCTGGCATCAAACATGATGTCTGGTCTACCAACCCAAAGTATCTGTCCCAGTTTTAATCGATAAACATTAAGTTCTGTTACTTTCAGTCGGGAATTGCGCTGAGATTATCAAGACACATCAGATTGAGATTTTCAACATAATTTTCTTGCTTCATCAGAATAGCATTCTGTTCACTGACAAGTTCAATGCCCACATAAGAGAAGTTATCACTTTCTTCCCGTCACACATTGAAGCTTATCTAATTTGTGGTACAACAGATTCTTCATATGCTGCTGATCCACCCCAGATAAAGTCGTCAACATGGCTTGCAAGTACACCCTCAATGCCATTTGTTTCATTCCACCAGTAGAACACGGCAGGACCTACAACTGATATTTTAGCACCACAGTTTCACATTACTTCACATACTTTACTTTACTTTACTTGTACCAATAAAGTGAGGCATCTAAAAGCCCATACACACACTTTTGAAGATGCCAGATAATTAGTAAATTAAATGAGACTTACCTGTGAGTTGAAGGGGTAACATGAGGTTGCAACTGCGCATGCGTGGACCAGACTTTAAAGTGAAGTTTGGACAGATTGGCAATAGACATAAGGCCCAAGGGAGGGAACAATGGGTGGGCATGTTACCCCTTCATCCCTCCTAACTGGCTGGAAGAATTCCAATCAAACTTCAACTTACAGGTAAGTTTCGTTTAATTTTCTAATTCTACCATCCAGTCACGTGATTCAGGGGTCCCATGAGACTTCAAACCTGTCGGTCTGTTGAAACTTTAAACAACATGAATCTAACCCAATAAAGGGACAAACAACCAATAATTTGTATTTTTAAGAAATCTAGTTTTAATCTGTCAGATAACATGGACACCCATTCTTAAATGAAGCTCAACGGCTTCAGACATAGTCCAATCAAATATCTGAAATAACTGTTCATAGAGCTCATATGCAGACCACTCAATACACTGACTCTTGAAATCGGCCGTACGGCCTCACATATGAAATGAACAAATTAGACTCGTTACCCTTAAGAGGTTCAGTCCCCGCACTATATTCGTTCAAGACGGTAAGAGGGCAAAGCCTCCTGTCCGTGGGATATGCTTCGATTGTGATCCTTGAAAAGTTCTTTCCAGGTCTCGACTGTCTCACATGATCTCTGAGTAAAAAAGTTACTCTTGCACAAGAATCAGAAACTTCTAAGTCTCCAATGTTGAGAAATGAAAGAGTCTGGCCCCTTTGGGCTGTAATGGCCTACCTTTAGAATACAGTACCACAAACTTTTCAAACACATGACTATACCCTATGACGTAAGTTGTAGTATTTTGTTGCCATTTGCACTGGCGAAACAATGGCCTGTGAAGGGTCACGCTTCCAGCTACAATATTTTTCAATCTTGCAATTTAACCTTTAGCCTACTGAATTGTTTTCACACTTTTTACTTCTGTAAAGAGGGTGGGTGATTTCATACGGTCGGTGCTTCTTTAAACAAGGGGCATTTGAACCAGTATTTTGCACATTAATACCTGATAGAAAATTACACATTGTCATTTAAGGATTGAAGTTGCATTTGTTGACGTTCAATAGCTGATGAAGACAGTGCCTCACGTGAGCAAATTCCATGATGCGCGAAGCACTCCTCGTGGGTGTCGTCAGTCGCCGGATGACGTAAGCAGGAACTCTCGTCCAATAGAACCTGTTAAAGTTGCTGTCTGTTTGCTGGGGAGGTATCCTTTGTCTCAGCTGTCGATCAAGATGATCCCAGAGATGCTCCATAGGATTCATCTCTGGAGAGCATGCTGGCAAAGGCAATATGTTGACGTTAAGGTTGTGCAGATATTGCTGAACAAGTCTGGCGGTATGTGGTCGTGCATTATCCTGCTGCAAAAGGGTACCCATTGGTGGTCCACGTAAGAATGGCACTACAACAGGTCGCAACACTTCATCTCTCTATCTTTGGCCAGATTCCCATGGATGATGACAAGCCTTGTCCACCACAAATACCATTCCATACCAAGAGGCCGCCTCCACTATTAGGGTGCACATTTTTGATGCAGTAAGGTGCCAGTCGCTCTCCCCTCCGTCGATAAACACGGACTCGGCCATCATTTCGGAACAAGTTAAAGCGACTTACATCTGTAAACAGCACCATTTCCCAATCACGCTGCTGCCACTGACGTACAGTTCTAGCCATTTGTAATCTGCATTGGCGGCGTAGAGGGGTCAAGGCCATTTCATGGAGGGGGTGGTAGGCTCTGATACCAGCAATGCAGAGTTGTGGTAAGATTGTTCGCCTGCTGATGGTGTGTCCCAATGCAGACTCCGCCATTGACGTGCCGTCACTTACCGGTTCCGCAGGTGGATTGTCCAGATGTAGGTGTCTCCAACTGGCGCTGTGACCCTTGGTCTTCCCGATCTTGGACAGTCTTGTGTCTGGCCTGTTTGCTGATAACAGCTCAATAAGTTGCTGATACTGGTTTGATAAGGGTTCTTGCAATCTGCCCTTGAGAGGCCCCTATATCGGCCATACCAATAGTTCTGTCATGTTCCTCTTGTGTGAGTCCCAGCATTTCTCTGATGTTCTTTTTTATGCTGTATCCTTGCCCTGCCCCACATCGGTATTTATGCAACAACCATGCACCAACATTTTTATCAGTTCCCAAAAATCCTGTTTTTCCCAATGTTCATGACCGCATGAATATTTACCGAATCCTGCAAAAAGTGACTTTCGTGTGTGCACAGGGTGTGTTTGGGTGATTGTTTTCTGATAACATTCTAACTTTTTGCACCGTATATAATTCAAATAAAACTATCTACAAGTGATACGTTTCTTTTGCCTGGTAGTTTATGATTGTATCTAAGTTGGGAACTGTGTTGCACCTGTATGTTTGGGCAATTTGCTTGTGCGAGTGATGTTACCATTATAGGCCAATCAGATATTTGACAATGTCTTGGTCTGGAAAATAATTAAACCGAAGAGTAAGATAATCAATATTAAGATTTGAAAAAAAAAACACCTTCAGCATGTGTAATGCCAGTACTAACTACACTGTGATGATGGGCTATGAACATGGCTATTGATGGACAAGCGGACACAGCAGTCACCGATAGACAAGAGCTACCCTGCCCTATTTCCTCTACTTGCAGAGATGGGGGTCTTATCTGTTCACTCAGCTGGTTTGGGCTGTAAGGATAGGAGAGTGTTCGTGGTGTTTATTTTGGACTCTATGCATTTGGTAACTAGAAGCACATATGTGCTGTAAGAGTCTTAGTTGGCCTCTGATGGTAGCAGTGAGAGGGGTATGCTGAGGACATTTATTTCGGTGTTAGTTGGTGGAGAAAGGAAGGAACCAGCGTTTGCCGATTTAAGACCTATGTCCCTTTGTTGCTTCCTTATAACAAATTTAGGAAACAGCAGGGTTTCTAAAACTTTTGAATCGTCCGACCACATTTTTTACCCAATTCTATCTTGCAGAGCCATGCCGCGTAAAAATCAAGAATGTCAGGCCATTCATCCATATCTCTGTTATAAGCTATGTTTTGTAACTAGTCCAAGCTTCCACGCTTCTCAGTAGGAGTTGTAGAAACATTCTTGATAATTTCTATATATTTTTCCTGCCACAAGCAGTCTAAAGTCGAAGTCCTTAAACCTAACCACCATAGCACCCTACTCCAGCTTTAGGACAGTGTTAGGCCATATCTGCAGCGCTATGACTGACTGAGCGGATCTGGCATCAATACCTGCCAATACTGCTAACCTCTGGAAACACTCCTGTGTCTGGTCTCCAATGCACTGTCATCAGAGTCACTGTCTTAAAGCTCTAGTCCCATAGATTTCATCTGTGTGGTGACCTTTGAGTCCAAGTCCTCCATATCCCTAAGTTGGTCAAGGGTGACATGTTGAATTTCTGCCTCTGGATTGACCTCTGATGTGGAAACCTCCTATGGGTCCCTGGATCTCAAACTTGCCGTTTTC